TTCCCGTGAGAAAGGGTTTGGGAGTTGCATATATCGTTGAGAAAAGCGTTAAGATTCCAACCTAGTAAAATGGCGACAAGGAATTATTCTTTTGACTCAGTCCATTTTTTTTTGTCTGTACACCTGATGTACTAACCGGAATCTATCCAGCAACGGAGGATTTTGTTCCTTTAATTTCTCTTGATTTTTTCACCGTTAATTATCTTTCCTTTTCAATTATCGAAAATGATTGAAAAACACAAGGTGACTATAGGTGAGGGTGTTTTTCTTTTCTTGTTCTTTTTGTTTTTGTTTGGTTTTAATAACGAGAATAAGTCAAGCAAAAATCTATTAAGAATTGACGGCTGTGGACATTAATTAATCATGCTAATTAGATGGGGAAAGATTACAATCTGCGAACAGTCAATGCTGAATTAGAATTACACAATAATTTGGATGTTTGAAGCTTCCTTATCATATATGCTTAAATTTAATTAGTTTTCATGCTAAAGCACACTTGTAGTTTTAAATCTTTAATTTGGGTTTTATTTTTATCTTTAATCTTTAAATTATTTTATGATAGTCCCAAATTTTTTTAAAAGGTTGTCCATATGATCACTCTACATAAAAATAAAAAGGTATTACAAATCAAAATAATGAATTCAGAATTATTATTCTTTACAATCATATCAAAATGTAGATATTATAAAGGAAATAAAATTTATAAAATTTTTTAAATGAAACGAAAATCTAATTTTTCTCTTAATTTTAAAAATTCAACTAGAACCAGGGTAAAATTGTATTTTAGTTTCCTTCAAAATAATTATAAAATTTTTATTTTTTTAATAAATATATTTTAGTATGATAATAAAAAGTAATAATTTTGAGTCCATTACCTAATTCTATTTATTTTTATTTTATTTTATTAAATTTTATTTTTTCAATATTTACAAATTTTGATAATAATATAAAATTAATTCCTATTAAAAATAAAGTTAGAAACTATTTTTAACAAAAAAGAAAGAAATAATGCATACCAGAATAATCTAAATATATTTATTAGTAAAAAAATAAAATTTTTAAAATTTTAAAAGGAAACAAAATTATCGTTTTTCCCTTAATTTTGAAAATTCAACTTAAAATCAAAGGAAAAAGTGGTACCTTATTTTCTTTCATAATAATTATAAAAATTTTATTTTTTAATAAATATATTTTGTTATGATAGCAAAAAGTAATAATTATGAATCCATTACCCTAATTCTATTTCTTTTTTATTTTATTTTAGGAAATTTTATTTCCCTAATATTTATAAATTTTGATAAAAATATAAAATTAAATCCAATTAAAAATAAAGTTGTAGATTATTTTTAACAAAAAAGAAAGAAATGAAATATATTCAAATAATTTTGACTTTCAAGTTAAAAAAACAAAATGAGAAGAAATGAGCGTAACTGAGGTGAAAATATTTAGATAGATATGTAATAAGATTAAAAGAGACAAATTTAGAAATGAAGAGATTTTAGAAAATTTAGGGTAAGTTTGAATTAAGGAAAAGATTAAAGAAAGCTATTTGAAATTATCTGCACATGTGAAACTTAAGTCTATTTATGCACCAATTATGCAAAATAAGTTTTTAAATTTAGGAGATACCAAAACTTCTAGAAGTAAGCCACGAAAGATATAGATGCAAGTATTAAGAAATGATATAAATGTTAAAAAAAAATAGTTGAAAAGCTTGTTATTAATAGAAATGAGTGGCATAAAAAAATTTAAAACTATGACCTAAGATGATTTCTTTTGGGCCTCTCATACAGTCAATTTTAGAATTATGAGATATAAGGCTTAATTTGTTATTGTTATTGTAATTTGGACTCTTGAGTGTTTGTTATTTATTTTCTAAAAAACAAGCTTGTATATACTAAATAATTAATAAAGTTTACATTCTAACTATAATTTTAAATTTAAAGAGTAAGAATCATGCTCAATTGCTAAATGATCTTTAATGAATTACTTATAATAAACTATTTCCTCAAGAGATTATAATAATAAATAAATTTATTGTGTTAGGTTGGCATAATTTTAGAGAGTTCTAGATTATACTATTAATAATTTTAAAAAATGTACTTTCTAAATTATTAATTATTATTTACTTTTATTTAATTAAGTGTTAACACATTATTTGAATATGTTTCCTTTCTTTCTTTCTTTTTTTTAATTCTAACTTTATTCATAATAGAATTTAATTTTATATTTTTATCAAAATTTATAAATATAAGGAAAATAAATTTTGATTAAATTAGAATAAAGAAAGAAAATAAAATCATTATTGATCCAAAGTTATTATATTTGCTATGATATTAAAACGTATTTATTACAAAGAAAATAAAATTATTAAAATTATTAAGAAGTAAACTAAAGTACCCCTTTTCTTAATTTTCAGGTGAATTTTGAAAACAAGGGGCAAAAAAGGATAGTTCTATTTCATTTTTAAAATTTTTAAAAGTTTTATTATTTTCTAATAAATATATTTTAGTATGATAGTAAAAAATAATAATTTTAGATAAATTATCTTTAAGTTGTAATTTTTTTCCTATTTTTATGCAAAATTTGATTAAATAACCATATTGACACCATTTTAAAAGATTTGAAAATATCATGAAATAATTTAAAAATTAAGAATTAAAATAAAACCTATATAAAAAGTTTGATACTACAAATGGAGTTTGCCCTAATTTCCATTCAAGGACAGAATCTTGTAAGCCCTAACAAAAAGTATGGTTGCAGCCATACATTCTATTTTCTAATACATGCATTCAGAATCGGCAATGCTTGATGTGTTGTGGAATTAATTTGAACTCTAAACCCTAAATCCAAAAGTTAAAAAGTGATTGAGGGTATGAGGCTTGAGCCTGGTGGGCTGGTTTGAGAATGGACCCATTTTTTAGTAACCACGAGGTGGCCCAGCGAGCAAGGAGCTGATAGACAGTCTGATAGTGCTGCCTGCTAATTAGGCAGTAGCAATGGGGAAAATGAGGAAAAATCAATAAGAATTAACTGATAATCTCAAAGGAGCAAAAAAAGAGAAGTTTGTTAGTGGCTGCGAAGGGCCTAAGTTCGCATGATTTGTTAATTGTTGTACAAAAAAAAAAAGTATATTTATTTTGTTTTAATGGTATCTTTTCTTAATAGGTGGTATCCTTAATATGTAAAGAGAGAGAGAGAGAGAGACGCTGCAATCTGCGCATGAAAAAGAAAAGAAAAACACTGAGATGATTTAGGCATGCCGCCATCGACGTCCTAGACTCTGGCTCTAATTTATCCCTTTCAGCTACATAGCACTACCTTTAATGTCAGAGGTAGTTGTTACAGCAAACGGCATTCCCCGAGAACTAGATGAAATCTTTATGGATGTTATGTACACGATGAGTATAAGTTAACGAAGGCTGTTGGAGAATAAGTATGAGAGCCTGCAAAGGAAAAACACAAATATCCTGTGGCTTCATTCAATAAACTGCTTGGCCTATATGCAATACTAATATCTTTTCAATCCAACGTTTTTATTTACTGCTTTGGCCTTTTGAACTTTTTGTTTAATAACTTTGGCCATATGAACTTACTAACAATTCTTAAACTAAGCCACAAATAAAAATGCTACACAAAACATATATATATATATATATATATATAATTAGGATAATAGAAGCCATTGAAAAAAGGTTGAACAACAGGCAAGAATATGTTTGAATATAATTAACATCCTTCTTCTCATAATTACTCATAATTATTATCATACCCTCTTATCATAATCATAGAAATGTGCCTTTTATCATAATTAATCAAAATTATTATAATACCCATCATACTATAATTGCAATAATATTTCATAAACTATAATTGATTAAAATTATTATAATATCTCTTCAATCATAATTACGAAAATACATTTCCTATCATAATTAATAAAAAACTACTATAAAACCACTTTACCATAATTAAACAAAAATTATTATAATGCCCCTCACTATAATTAGAAAAAAACTCTTGTATATGATTATACAAATATGCCCCTCCTACCACAATTAGTCAAAATTATTATAATGATCCTTTTATCTTAAGTACAAAAATATCTCACACCATAATTGGCAAAATATCAAATATCTCTCCAATCATAATTATGAAAATGTTTTTCGATCAAAAATTATAAAATATTCCTCATACAATAATTATAAAAATATTTTTATGAGTGTTAATAAGTAGTTGATATGTGGTTTTTTATTTTAAATTTACTATAATGTCTTTATAAAATTATGTACTAAATTTTTACATGAGATAAAATTAATCACATATTAAATTATTAAAATATCATTACAATTACTTTATAGAAATGTGACATGTGGTATTTCGTTTAAAATTTACTATAATACTACTATTAAATTACATATTAAATTTTAATATAATATAAAATTAGCTATATATTAAATACATATTAAATTATTAAAATACTTTTGCAATCATTTCATTAAAATGTGATGTGTCATATTTTATAAAATTATTGTAATACCCTTGTTAAATTACATATTAAATTAAACACATAAAACTTAACTCTATATTAAATTACTATAATAAAATAAAATAAAATTAGTTTTATTTTATTTTAAATATTTTTACAAAAAATTTATAAACTATAATAAATTTAAAATTATACATTTGATCAAATAATTAATAAAAATACAACATTGAAGATATAGTATAAAAAATTATAAACACAATAAATGAAATGCTACACGTATCTTAATTTTAATACTGTATAAAATTTTTATTTATTTTATTATTTATTATTTATATATTAAAATAATTACAAAAAATTGATAAATAATAAAAATAAAAATTTTGATAAAAAAAATAATTCAGCGGGGTGTCGATTTCTAATGGTTAAAATAATAATAACTTGTAAACAAACTAAAAAACAAACACGTGAGTGAGTGAGTGGGACCACCAAGCAAGCAAAGCCAGTCCCACCTTCACCAGGCATAACCTAACGCTTTTTAATTTTGTCGTGGGAGGGACACCAAAATAAAAAATGAACCTTACGTTGCTTCGCATTCAAGTCCCCATATTTGACACTCTTTGGTTTTTTCATTCAAACCTCTTCATATTTCAACACTTACACCGTTTGTTTTTCCTAATTCCACTCCTCTATGGGCCTCATACTCATCATCATTGTCTTTAGGCGGCTAAATCATAATTTCACAAATGTCAAAAGAAAAGAAAAGTATCTTAGATTAGTTAGATGATGAGAATAAGTGGCGTGGCCCTTTTGGACTTGTCCAAAACCATAAAATATGACCCACCCATATACATACCATACCACCTTCTGCCTTCCTTGGAATATATTTTGAAGGATAGAATAAATCCATGATATTACCTCGTAAAATAATAATAATAATAATAAAATCAACAAAGCAAGCCGAACCACGCACATTGGCAACCTCCCACTGGCGCTTGGCGGTGCTGGCCCCCACTCCTGACCAGAAAGTCCTCCATCCCAATCGGACACAGCTAATCAACCAAATTATTCCTCCTTTCTCCTTTTAATAAAAGCATAAAATTGTCAACACATCGATTTGAATACGTTAAATTTAATTATAACTAAATAAAGAATGCAACGGCTTTTTCTCTCTCTCTCCCCCTCTCCTACTATATCAAGCAGGCTTCATATACCATCTGGAGTATTATTTACTTTTATAAATCTATCAACACAAAAAAAATTAAAAAAATTAAAAAACGAACCCTAAACCCTCCCAATAAATTGCCCTGTCCTACCCAACCATCTAATTAAATAACCACAAAATTAAAATAAAAAGAAAAAAAAAAAAAAGAAAAGAAAAAGAAACCCAATGCAAAGTTGCTCTAACTATTGGCGAGTGTTTTGTAACCTAGTTCCAATCATTTTGAGCTCAAATTTCTTGACAGACCCAGCAACATCCCTCAAGGTTGTGTCCAAAACATAAGGGGTTTTCTCGAAGTTGATCTCCGTGGAATTGATCAGGTATCGGCATGGCTCGCGCCTTTCTGCGATGGTTCCATGATAATGGAAGTACTTGATCCTGCCCTCTGTCTTGTAGGTGGTCTTGCCCGCTAGGTTCTGCGACATGTGAACCCCCGTTGCAAACACGTTGCGTGGTTGAATTGCGTATTTGCGGTCCCTCCTTATTCCTCTTTTCACATCTCTATATACAAGCTTCTCAAAGCCCCATTTCCTGAGGATTGCATTTTACAATAACCGACAAATAAGATTATATTGAATTTAAGATATATATATATATATATTTGATTACATTAAGAGGACAAAATCTTAATATAAATAAAGGAAAGGGAAGAAGATCTGATTCAAAATCAGACTCTTAATATCCTCTCAAATGCCTTTAACCACCAAGCTAAAGGCTTGGAAACTGTTTTTTTTTCTTTTGGTCAACAATAGGCATAGATATTCAATACAGCCGTTTATTCTTATCAAAACTAGTAATCTGTTGGGCATGAAAATCAGAGTTGCATTCCGATTAACAGGATATGGAATATGCATTTTGATTCCCCTGGTAATATACCTAACTAACTGTAGCAGCAGTAAATTATGACAAATCCTTTGATTGCACCGTTGGCTTATTTGTTTACTTTTCTGCTATTTCCACCACATTCACCAAAATTGATAAATAGCCACCTATAATCCATCCGAAAAACATCAATCTGCAGAACATTTCAAACCTATCCAAAATAAGGACATGGAGAGAAGCTCAATAAATCTCTCCATGATTATCACTTTCGAAATAGAGATTTCAGCAAACAGGAAACTAGTTCCAAGCTATCTCACATAATCCCAACAACTCAGTCTCAATCTGAGAAATTTTATATTTGAGCCACAGTACCTGTCTTAATCTCACATTTGACATCAGCATCAACATGATTCAAGATTCACAACTTTCCGAATTTTGTTGTTTATTTCCAAGTTGATTTCATTACACTAACTAGTTTTTCTTTAGCTCAATTTACAAAATTTTGATGGCTAACATCTCAACGTGTCTTATTGAAGAATAGAACATCAGCAATTGAAGGACAAATTGTAATCTTCCCTAAAATAAATTGACTTTTGAACCAACAACACTGGTAGGATAGTTTTTTTTAATCAGATTGGTAGGATAGTATTTAAACGAATAACGAGGGTCCTAGTCAAGAAGATAAAACAATGACTTTAGAACAAGTTTGGAACCCGCCCCACTTCCATCCGCCCTAATACAATCAGGAGCATAAAACAATGAATTTAGAACAAGTTTGGAACCCACCCCACTTCCACCTGCCCTAATACAATCAGGAGAAAGAAGACTCAAAGTACCATCACAGGGTAAAATAACTACAACTATGTAAAAAGCACTTGATTTTAGTTCTAACCTTCAACATCAATTGTAAAATGTTGCAATCAATCAACCACCACAAGATTAATTACAATGGATGCATAAATCAGACTATTAGCTGGGGAAATTAACAAAAAGAGAAGGGTTGATTTTTCCCTATGCTATGCTAAGGATTGGTATTTCAAGGATTAATTAAATTCAGACCTTTGCTTATAATTTTAATCACCACGATCTAACATGTATGATTCATTTAATCTTTTTCCTAATAGGATTGGCATCAAATTGAAATTTCAGCGATTACAGAATTCGTCAAATAAAAATAAAATACTAATAGTGGAAGCATACCTGTGACGTTTAGCAGCGTCAACGGAGTGGCAAAGCTTGCTGCTCATAGGCATCTGTTCAATAGTGAACTGAGAATAGTCGGAAAGGGAATCGAGCACAGAACGAATGGTGCTCTTGGGAGGCACATAGATGTATTCATCCACATCGAAGAAGAATATCCACTTTGCCATAAATTTGTATCTGTGCAAGCAATCATTCACCACCATGAATTGATTGTGGTAGTACCCATCGAATCTCTCCTGCTCCCTTATGTCTTGAAGGGTAACGTAGCCAAGCTCCATCCAAGGCTTTAAAACCTCCAACACCTCCTCGTGGACCCCACCCGCGTCGTGAAAAACGAAATGAGACCTCTCCCCGAACAACCTGACGTGGTAGGCTATCCACTCCCTCACTCTCAGGGGGCTCAGTGTCCCATACAATGAGGATCCGCAGTAAAGGTAATCGTACTTGGGCTTGGAGGTGAAGAGGGAAAGGTTGAAGGTGCCGGTTGGTTCTGTCAAGGCAGGGATGGTGTCGGTGAGGTTGAATTTGGAGTCACCTCCTCCGGATGTGGAGGAGTGGAGAAGTAGTGTCCCTCCAGAATTGTCAAGGTTGATGGGCTGGGGAAAGGTACAGTTCACAACCACCACAGTATAGACGCGGCCATATCCCCAGTCAGGGAGGATCTTGTAACTAAGGCTACTAGTTATGTTGGTGTCGTTTTCTTTATTACTGCTGAAAGGGAGCCACTGGCATTGGTAGGTGGGGCGGGAATAGAGGTGGAGGGGCTTGGAGGCGAGGCCCACAATGGCAAAGGTGTTGAGGCCGCCTCTGTAGGAGCCCATGGTGATGAAATTGTAGGCGGCTGCACCGTAGGGGTTGAATGCGCGGCGTATGATGCCGCTGGGGAGGACCTCATCTGTTTCTTTCTGGGTATAATTATGAAAAAGAGAGGGGGGAGAAGGTAGGGTGGGGGGGGTAGTGGGGCCAGCGGCGGCGATGCGAGAGATACAGAAGCGGAGATCAGAGGCGGATATGGTAAAGCGTGAGGGGATAAACTGGAGGAGGGTAGCGAGGGAACAAAGGATGAGGAGTGCGGTTAACAAGAGCTTGAGTTCTGCAGCGAAGTTGCATACCACCCCAACCAGCATCTTGTTGTGCTTCTCTCCTGAGGCAGCAGCTGATCTCTCTTTTCCCATTGCAAAGAGCAAGTAGGCAACCAAAGAATATCTCTCTCTATCTCTCTCTTTCGCGGTCTCACAACCAGAAGAAGATTGACGGGGAAGCCTTGTTTGAGGAGCAGGGATGAGAGAAGAAGCAATTCTTGTCGATTTCACTCGCTCTTTCGATCTGTCTCTCCGTGTCGGTCTTTTAAATTTTGTTTTTTTTTTTTTTAATTTCTTATTATACACGCATCATTATAAAATGTAATATAGTAATTTTGTTAAAGAAAATAATATTATTATTTAGTATTAAAATGCAATATATTAAACACCGATGTGAAAAATAAATAAATTATTAAAATAAAAAAAACGTAGTTATGAAGATTTTTTTTAAATTAAAAATTTATATAATTAATATATATGTACACTTTAAACAGTAATTTATATTAAATATAAAATTTAAATTTTAACGTTGGTAATTTTTTTTAAACTACGATATTCTTTTATAAAAAAATATTTTTCTTGTAATCTATGTTTATTTGGTGATTTAATTAGTTGAATAATGTGCGTAAACTTACTAATTTTGAATTTCTTTTCTTTCAGAAAGGATTTTGTGGATATCGGAGGATTTGTAAGCATATATTCAAATTGTTTCATATGATCTTTAACACTATTAACTGTTCCCACTTTGAGAATGAGCTGGGGAGAAAATGCCATAGTGACCAACCGATTATCAAGGGCAAGAAAAGTCTTACATTTTGATTACGCATGTCCCATGTTCATTTATTGAATTAAAAAAAATTAAATTACAATCCAAAAATAATTAATCCTAATTAAAACCCAAAAGTCTTCGTACATTTTAATTAAGTTCATAGGTTTATTTTTCTATCTATTTTTCAATGATTAAAAACTTATCTCCTTTATTTTCTCAAACACCAAAAGCCTTATATATATATATATATATATATATATGTGCCCTTCGTTTCGCTTAGAGATTTTTTTTTTATATAAATATTTGTATTGAATTACTTTTATAAATAGAATTTTATATTATATTATATTAAATAAAAATTGTTTATTTAAATAATTTTATTTTGTGTATATATTTAATATATATATATATATATTGATATTACCATAAGAGGAGGGATAAATTTATACAATGTAAAATTTTTTAAACCATTTTTATCTTATTTTTACTTGTTTCTTTCATTCATTTAATCTATTAAAATCAAAAATTTAAAAAAAAATATAAAACTAAAAAAATCATATTTATTAATTAGGAAATTAAATATATAAAAATTAATTAATTACTAATTATATAATACAAATGTGTTGGCTCAAAAATAAATATATTTTATTATTATTAAAATTAAAAATTACATGGTAAAAATAAAGTTTAAAAATTATTTAATTTTTACGAACCTATAAGTCTTTTGTTCTTATTTCTTATATTATTAAAATCTATCCTAACTTAGAAATTTAAACAAATAAATAATAAAATAATAAAACAAAAAAAATAAAGTAAAACAAAAAAAAATTATAATGAATAAAAAAAATCAAAACTAACACATACAGATCAGATCTTTTATTGAGTTAATGAATCAAAGGATCAAGTTCTAAAATTCTCAAAATGACATCATTTTGTTTCATATATATATATATATATATATATATTCATCAATTTAAAAAACAAGATGAGGTGAATTAACACCAAGAAAATAATAGGAGGAAAAATTAATTGAAGCGTTTGACAACAAAAATGACATGTGCAATGCTTTTATAACATCTCTAATCTCTTATTGGTTAAATATAAGAACATGATATGATATGATATATATATATATATAAATAGAGATTTAAACACATATTTGTGATACATTTTTTATGAGATAAAATTTTAAAAATTTTAATGTCAAAATGGATAATAGTTTATAGATTAAGAACTTATTTTCACAAATGGTATTAGAGCGATCATTAATTAAAATTTTGAAACCTAAGTGTTACACCATGAAAGTCATTTTTAAAATCTTATGAGAATTAAGTTTTATACGGTGAGAGTCATATCTAAAATCTCAAGGCTTAGTGTTATTCTGGTTTTGTATGTTTTTTTATGAAACTTCAAGTTTTAACAAAATAGAGTTTTTATATCCTAATTTCATATCAATATATTTTAAGAATTTGTTATCACTTAAAATTAAGGTGTCAACCTTGTTTTAGATCACATAGGTCAAAGGCAATAGCCAGCTACAAAATAAAAATGTCATTGAAACATGCATATATACATGTTCATATTCACTTTTTTTTTTTCATTTTTAGGCCATTCTATGTTTAAATTCACTCGTTTTTTTTTTAAAGAAATCCATATATATATATATATTAATTCTTGTATAATTATCATAATTTCCTTGATATATATGATGATAACTTTTTATTAGTTTTTTTTTTAATAACAAATACACAAAATAGTGATTTAAGGTGTTTTTAATAAAAAAAACACTTTAAATAATTCTCAATATTTTTTTTAAAAGGGATTATTTAAGGCATTTTTAGTAAAAAAAAATACCTTAAATAATACCTTCTAATTTTTTTAAAAGTATTATTTAAGGTATTTTTAACTAAAAACGCTTTAAATAATCAATTTCATTACTTATAAGATTTAATAGATAAAATATAAAAAAAATTAGAGTAGCTTAGTTGGTTAGAATATATGATTATTAATTATAAGGTCCTAGGTTCGATTTTTTTTTTCTAGCGCTTTAATATTTTTTGAAAGGTATTATTTAAGAAGTTTTTTACTAAAAATACCTTAAATAATTCATTTAATTACTTATAAGATTTAAGAGATAAAATATAAAAAAATTAGAATAGCTCATTGGTTAAAGCATATGCCTATTAATCATAAGGTAATAGGTTCAATCTTTTTTTAACGCTTATTTTTTGAGATTATTTAAGGTATTTTTTGTTAAAAATTTACTTTAAATAATGCTGAACAATTTTTTTAAAGGATTATTTAAGGAGATTTTGGCTAGAAATACCTTAAATAATCTTCTAAGAAAGGCTTTAAATAATCTTAAAAAAAAATTAATATTATTTAAGGTGTTTTTTTAATCAAAAAACGTCTTAAATAATGCTAAACAATTTTTTTAAGGAATTATTTAAAATATTTTTTTATTAGAAAACGTTTTAAATAATCCATAAAACAAATTAATATTGTTTAAGACGTTTTTGATCAAAAAAATACCTTAAATAATGTTGAACAATTTTTTTAAGGGATTATTTATGGTTTTTTTTTGTTAAAAAATGTCTTAAATAATTTTTTTCAAAATTAAATGAGATTATTTAAGGCGTTTTTGGTCAAAAAAATATTTTAAATAATCTCTAAAAAAATAAAACAGTATTATTTAAGGCATTTATAGTTAGAAAATGTCTTAAATAATACTGATAATTTTTTTAGGGAATTATTTAAGATATTTTTTGGCTAAAAATATCTTAAATAATTTTCAAAAAAATTTAAATAAGATTATTTAAGACATTTTTCATACTAAAGGCCATTAATTGTAATATAAAAAAAAAATTAGCAATAGAAACCTATAACTAAGACATGCTTTTTTAAATTGTAACGATTATTTTATAATTTTTTATTCAAATTAAATTTAAAAATAATATAATTTTTCTTTGAAATTTTAAGATTTTAGATATTGTTGAAAATTTATCACTTTTTCTTAAAATCAAATTACTTTAAACCAAATATTAAAATTAAATTCCACCAATAAAAATAAAAAAAATGTATAAATTCCTCCGAAATAAACTCTCAAAATTAAAAAGAAAAAAAGTATAGATTCCTCCAAAAGCAAACCTTCATTAATGATTATATAATTAATGGAACAAATAGTTGGCCAGTGAGGAACAGAACTAATTGCTTGGATATAATTTTGTTACGGCCAAGAGCTGCGCCTGACAGATGTTGACAACTTTTGGTTGATTTACTTTATTAAATAATAATTTGTTTATCCTGTATACTTGCTTCTCAATATTGGTATCGATAGTGATCAAAGCAAGGCCAGGCCTACTTGAAACCTGTAATTGATGGAATAGGAATACTTGATCGTATTTATTTTTCTTGGTTTAATCAACTTTATTGAGAGTGGTTTTATTTACCTGAAAGGGAATCGAAAATATAATTGTGGCATAGATGGAGATAGAATCTACAAATCCATCATTAACCGGATAGAAAGCACGGTGAATTTGGGCGGGGAAAGTTGTTGTTGCCCATTCCATATACATATATATACCCCTCTATCGCCAATATTCCTGTTTAGAGATCTCAAGTTTAAAACTGTCGAGGATAGTGGGGTTAATTGAGAAGAGGATCCTCTTCAATCAGTGGTTAAATTTTCAACGAAGGCTTCAGCCAACTACTTTCCTGTGCTTCTGTGTGTGTGTTTTTTCTGTCCCAAACCACTTTCCTTGGTTGAAAGGGCAAAAAAGACCTAAACAGCATTGATCAGGTAAAACAGTCAAGAAAAATGCTCTTCTATCATCCATGCCATTAATAAATTAAACCTGCAAAGCCGAAGCATTGTTTATTCGAGGACGGATAGCCCATATTGCATAAATGTAGAAAAATCCAGATGCGATATTGGATTAGGACTAAATACAGGATTTATTTTTGTGCAAGAAATATATAGCATTATTGTTTTTGAAAGTATTGTGTTGTTATTTGTAACACAACTTGTATCTTCGTTACTCTTCGCACTGCCTCAGCCATTACAAACAGTATCTATTTGTCTGGGCACTTGGTAGGAAGTGGAGCCCCGCAAACCTGTGGATTCCCATCATAAATGGAGGAATCATTGAATCTTGGCTGAAGAGGAATTCTTCCAGAAAAGTTGTTATATGACAGGTTTAATCGAGTCAAAGAAGCCAGAGATGTCAAGCTTTGTGGGATTGCTCCTGAAAGACAGTTGTGTGACAGATCAAGCGACTCCAGCAGTTGCAAGTTTCCAATTTCCAATTTTCTCAGGAATGCTATTGCTCAGAAAATTACTTGACAAATTCAAGATGCGCAGTGCAAAAAGGTTTGTGATCTCACTAGGGATTTCTCCTGTAAGATGATTCCCTGAAAGGTCAATGCTATTTACATTTGCCTCAACGCTGCTATATTCAGGATCTCTTCCTCCTGTTACCACCTTTATTAGCTCTTCAAACCCCTCGCTGCTATTTCCATAGACCAGTGCGGTCAGATTACCAATACACTTGGGAATGGGCCCTGAAATTTTGTTGTGGGAAAGATCTAATATGTGAAAATTTTGAAGACTACAGAACTGGTCGGTAATGTGCCCACTGAAAAAGTTTGAGCCAAGACGTAGCATGAAAAAGGAAGACAATTTTTCCACCCACAAGGGTAGAGTCCCCGATAATTTATTCCCTCCAAGGTCCATGCTTGTCAAACCGGAGCAGTTTTGCAATGAAGAAGGGATTTCCCCATCCAGATTATTGTTGCTCAACAATAGCACACTTAGAGAATATAGGAAACCGAAAGAACTTGGGATGTTTCCTCTCAAACTATTATTTGAGATATCAATGCCTCATAACATTAGTGATTGACACCAACGGTTAGGGAGTTCTCCAGAAAGCTTGTTGTTTCTAAGAGAAAGAATTTGCAGGCCCTCTATTTCACACATGGATGATGGGATTCTGCCACTGAGATGATTCCTAGAGAAATATAATTTCTCTAATCTTGGCATCAAGACCCCAATATTTTCAGGTATTGATCCTGAAAATGAATTTTCTTGAAGGAATACATCGGTTGCATTAGTGGACCAAGATGGGAGAGGACCCTCAAAGCAATTATAACTCAGATCGATGACATTTGAATATGGAAACTGTAACTGGTGTGGCAACTTCCCCCTGATTTGGTTTTGCGATAGAACCAAATAGGTGACTTTAGCAGACACTTCTGAAAACCATTGCCCTGGTATGCTGTCTGCTATTCCAACATTTTTTAAGATTACAGAGGTAAGTTTATTTTGAACTTGAAGCCATACAGGAAAGGAGGGACCTACTATGCAGTTTTCAAGTTGGATAGACTTAAGTTTGAAAGGAGGAAACCACCCGTGGGACACACTGAAAGCCAAGGACCTCGTTGGATCTGTTGTGAGACGAACATGCCGTAAACTCCTGAGATTCATGAGGTGGGTTTCTTTCAATATACCCTTCCAAGAATTTGCTATTAGGTTTATATCAGCTAGCCCATGGAGTTGCCCAAAGCTTTCAGGAATTGTACCATTCATCATATTATACGACAGGTCTAATTTTCTCAGCGCTGACAAGCTTCCAGTAGATGATGGAATTGAGCCCCAGAAAGAGTTGCTAGAGAGATCTAGGTGCTGTAAATATTTAAGCAATCCTAATGACTCGGGCAATTCCCCAATCAATGAGTTAGAACTCAGATCAAGTAACTCTAACTTATTGTTTGGGCTACTTGAGAATCCACTAAAAAGCTCATGAATGTCACCATGGAAATTATTTGCAGAAAGATCTAGAATCTGTAGTTTGCTAAGATTTCCTAATAATCCAGGAATGTGACCATCGAGGTTCAAATTATCCGACAAATCAAGGACTTGGAGATTTTTCAGGTTTGCGAATTCAGCACGAATTGAACCGCTGAAAAAGTCCCATCTCAGATACAGTTCTGTGAGACCGGTGAGATTGAACAACCATTGGGGAACTAAGGAATTAAAAGAATTCTCTGACAGATCAAGAACTGAAAGTGAGGTGAGGTTAACGGATGGTAATGAGAATGGGAGACCTTTAAGTTCACACCAGCGCAAACGCAAGTCTACCAAGGAAGGTAGCATATTAATTATTTGCAGCCAATGCTCACCTATGCTATCCAGTTTGGCAAATCCCAGGTTTAGATATTTTAAAAAAGAGAGAGCTCTAAGCCATGTCAGACTCCGTGAACGTAATTCCCAGGGGCCTTTACTGCTATACGAGTCAGCATAGAGGTCCAGATACCGTAAGTTGGTCAAATTTCCAAGACAAGGTGGAATCTTTCCAGCAAATGATGCAAAAGAGAGATTGAGATATCTCAAAATTTTCAGATCGCCAAAGAAGTTGGGAATTTCAAGTCCTTCAAAATCGTTCAGGCTAAGGTCCAGATAAGTTAGATATTCCAAGTGAAGCAAAGAATAGTTGATCTTACCTCCCAAACAGGAATATTTATATGCTATTGGATCAGCTACTCCATTGATTAACTGATATGGATTTCTAAGGTCGAGCTTCGTGACACGTCCTGTTTGGTTGTTGCATTTGATGCCTTTCCATCTACAACAATCTTCACCAACCCAGGAAGAAAGCCTGGAAGAAGGGTCGGTGAGACCTTCTCTGAGGACAACAAGTGCTCTTCATTCGGTATCGGTGCATTTGACATCAATCGAAAAGACGATAAGTTGTGAATTTGTATTGACAAGGAAGAGCAGGAGCAAATATGAAACAAGGAGTCGACAAGTTGATATGAAATTAGGCTTGTTACCCATACCAATAAGGAGGCCTTATCAGCTGCGGTAAAATTAGGTCCAGTTGAGCAACTTATAAGCGCTTGGCAGGGAGTCTGATATGGTGTTGCTCTGACATTGCTTTTTGTCCATTATTACTGGTAGCATATCTGTTGTGCGGCCTGCCATAATGTCCACTTGCTAAGTGGTGTGGATTGTGGAAGTCATCATTCATCCGTCCTGCTTGATGCTTTTATTACTTTGCCTAACTCGAAACTCAAGAGTCAAGGCTCAACAGTCAACATCGAGAACGATGTTTATAAAATAAGAAAACCTCTTTCCTGTATATTTTCTATCATGTAATTTAAAGCATGGTTAAAATAAGAGAAAAAGCTATAAATTAATTTGTTCTATAAATTTACAAGAAAAACATGTTTGAATTACTGAGTATGAACTCAAACATGTCAATGCCCTATAATATTAAAAGACTACTACTAATAGTCTAGTTGAAACTTTGAATTACTCAAAACAAAATGCTATATATATGTATATGTATTTATGTATGTATTCATCAATCAAAGTATATATTACTAATTCTAAGCTAGTTATTCAGCCATGTATATATATACATTACTATATTTTTTATTGGGGGAGGGATATATCTATATATGCCCACATGAATAATGCATTGCATGTACTGGATATGAATAATAATGAGTGGCCTGGGAAGCTAGGACTAAAACCATTTTAGAACAGGCCACGAGGCCCAAGACAAAACAGATAAGCTTAGATATCCATAAGCGAAAATGAAAGGCCCATGCCTTTATCAAATTCAAATCATCAACCCTCATTCTACGTTGTGAAGGACCAGCAGCGGTTTCCGTGCTTCAGCACTGGGCTGCCCATCTGGTCATATTCTTACAAACAGAATTCCAGCCCAGTCCCATATTTTCTCTTTACATCTGATTTTATTAATATAAATATGTTTTTTCCAATAATTTTTATATTGAATGTAAATATTCAATAATCTTCTCGAACCAAGATTGAACTTAAAAATCTAAATCCAATTCTGACTTGAACCCACTTATTCTGAGCAGAGCAGCAGGTAATCCCACCCTTCATCTCTAATTGTGAAAGAGATTTTAATGGTTGTACATATATTCACACTGCAATTTATTACTACTTATGAAGCATTTTCCTATTAAAAATGGGAAAAATAAAATAATATTATACAAAGTCAACTTTTGCCTACTTTCTGCATTACGGAACATCTAAAGAAATGTGATGGCAAGTGCAACAAATTTTTTTTTTCAATTTTTCAAAATGTAAGAAAATTAGAACTTGATCTCTTGTTAATTAAAATGAAAAGAAAAATAAAACTGCAATGGTTTGTAGTATAAAGGCATAGGTGGGGTAGTGAAGAATTTATGAATGTATTTGGATGATACTTTAGCTTCAGTCCAATCAAAGTTTCTTCCAATAAATTGATGCTATAACCCAACCAACAGTCTCTGTCTCATAATAATATATTAATATTAATTGCTTCAACGCTTTTTAAGTCTTTGACCCCTTCATTACTCCAACTTGCCTTGCAAGCTGGGCTATTTCCCCTTTCTTCTTCCACATTGACTCCATCTCAGGATAAAGACTTGGACACTACTTGCTGATAATAAAAGAAAATCATCCATGGAAATAGACCAAACCCAGTCTTAATTTTCTATTCCAATATTGAAGTTTCCTTCGAGTTTGTTGATCAAAGTCAACAGTTATATTCGCCAAATTCTGTTCAGTCCATATATATAGATATATGTATGTATGTATGTATAGTCACGCATTGGTTTGTTTATTAGTGCTAGTAGTTGTTACCTTTGCAATAATGATGTGAATTAAGTAGTATTAATTCCGCCCCAACAAATGGCTTTTTCCCTCTTGCTAGTTCTAAGGCTAATCAAAATTTGGGTTTATTTTTTGATAAAATCTAATCAAACAGAAGTAAAAGAAGTCATGAGCGAGAGTCATAGCGAGGGGCTTACAATTCTATGGACGACGTAACTAAACTAATCTAATAATGCATACAGACACAAGTCTTGCTAAGATGATGAGCGAGGTCACCCACCTTGACTCCAGTTAACATCTCTCTATTTCGTTCTTAAAAAAAAAAAAAGAAAGAGTAAAATGCTTAATTCAAATGTCCCTTAAGATTGAATTGAAGTAATCCAATAAAAATATCAAAAACAAAGAAACATAAACAAAAAATTAAAAAAAAGGTGCAATCTTTATCAGAAGAAAAATATCTGAGGATCTAGCAATGTTGTTCCTTTTGCTTACTATTAGTATTTAGTAGTTGAAATGTAGCATTAGCAATGAAAATATGGCAGTTCTGCTGACTCCGTCTACCACCTTCCATCTTTTCTCTCTCCCCCCCTATCGTTTCCTTTACGTCACAGTTAGATTGAGAAAGTTTAACCATCAGTCCATCACGAAAAGCAAACTCACCTCCCTAATCTAATCCTAATATACTATATATCTACAGCTATCTAATAAAACTACTATGTTTCGCAGCGACTTTTTTCTCTCATCACTCGCCACCCGTACCGTAGACTCTTGCCAAGAACACGTCCATGCTACATCTTTTCCATTTTCTTTAGCCCCTCTCTCTGAAGAAACAAACAGAACAAGTACAATCACAGGTCCAGACTCCAGAGTCGTTAAAATTTCCTGAGATGATGATATGCATATGCATGCTTCCATATTTCAAGAAACTTATTCCTCTGTTTCTAGCATCGCTCCTCGTATTTAGCAGAGTCTCTGCAAGGTTTGTTGTAGAGAAGAATAGCATCCGAGTGCTATCTCCATTGAGTCTGCGAACAAAGCATGACGGTGCCATAGGTAACTTTGGAATACCAGACTACGGAGGGTTTATTGTAGGCTCAGTGGTTTATCCAGATAAAGGGGCTAATGGCTGTGAACCCTTTGATGGTGTGCCCTTCAAGTCCAAGTTTCCTCGCCCCTCTGTTCTCCTTCTTGATCGTGGAGGTATTTCTCTATTCATTTTTGTCTTCAAAAATATGATCACAAGTCCCGTTTATAGTTTTTTTTTTTTTTTCATTTTTTTGTGATATTATTTTGATAAATTCGTCGAATTTGACTTGTTTTCATAAGAATTTGATCCGTGAGAGGCCTCTTACTGTTACAATTGCTATTATACTATTGTTTGGACATACGAGGATAAGTATTTTAGTATTTTCTATTGTAATTCTTTCTGTGACTCTCTCTTCTTCTAACTCTTAATGAATACACATGCACATATTTCCATTATTGACTGATCATGAAATAAAGAAAAGTTTCCAAGAACATGGTAGGTGCTGGTTGTACGTTTGTTTTAAGCGGTTTTCTCTTTTTTTTTTTTTTTGGTTTTTTGCCCTTGATCAATAGCATGTGCATATGCATCAGTATAAGCAGTTTTATTAATGAGCAGGAGTTTAATTTTGCTTCTCCTTGCTTGATTTTTTCCTTTCTAATTTACAAATAGAGCCTTCTATATTAATCTCATCATCAAATCCTTCTTGATTCTTTGTCTTGCACTCGTAGATTGTTACTTTGCCTTGAAGGCATGGCATGGCCAACAGGCTGGAGCTGCAGCAGTATTGGTGGCTGATAGCATAGATGAACCTCTAATAACTATGGATTCTCCTGAGGAAAGCTCTGACGCAAATGAGTATGTGGAGAAGATAGGAATTCCGTCAGCTTTGATAGAAAAGTCTTTTGGTGACAGCCTGAAGGAGGCCTTGAAGAAGAATGAAGATGTAGTGGTAAAGTTAGACTGGAGCGAGTCAATGCCCCATCCTGACCAGAGAGTTGAATATGAGCTTTGGACGAATAGCAATGATGAATGTGGGGTTCGTTGCGATGAGCAGATGAATTTTGTAAAGAATTTCAAGGGCAATGCGCAGATACTTGAAAAATGGGGTTACACTTTGTTCACACCACATTACATAACTTGGTATTGTCCTCGGGCTTTTGTTTCTAGCAGTCAGTGCAAGTCTCAGTGCATAAACCATGGAAGATATTGTGCTCCTGATCCAGAACAAGATTTTGCAGAGGGATATCAAGGAAAAGAAGTGGTGTTTGAGAACTTGAGACAGCTCTGTGTGCACAGAGTTGCCAATGAGAGCAAGAGGTCTTGGATTTGGTGGGATTACGTAACAGATTTCCATATCAGGTGTTCAATGAAGGATAAGAGATACAGCAAAGAATGTGCTGAGGATGTCATGCGCTCACTTGGTAGGTGCTCTTTTCTGTGGGATTTTGTGTATCATATCTTCTTGCATTCTTGCTTGATTGGCTTCATATGCTTAACCAGATTTGCCTGTTGAGAAAATCAAAAAGTGCATGGGTGATCCTGAAGCTGATGTCGAGAACGAAGTCCTGAAAACTGAGCAAGAGCTTCAGGTCATTATCTCTTGTCATATTAAATAACACAGTTACTATTTTAAGATTAATGATCTTAAAATGAAGCAAAATGTTAACTTTCTTATCTAGTTACAATATGTGGAACTTAGGTTGGCCGAGGTTCTCGTGGTGATGTTACCATTTTGCCAACATTGGTTATCAATAATGTTCAATATCGAGGTTTGTTACATAGCATGTTGAATATTAGATTGCAAAATTTCAAAGAGCTCTTTGGGTTTTCTCTCATGTTACATCGTTTCAATTTAAATCAGCAATGTTTGATCTTAATTCCTTATCCAAGTTTGTTAGTATGTTACTGCTAAAACGTTGTAGGTAACCTGTTTCAGTTTTCCCAAAATTACTTTTCTCACCAGGCTAAAATGAAAAATATTTTGACATGTATTTCGTCTTCCAATTCTCCCTCCCTCCCCATTTCTTTATATATCAAGTCAATCATGTCAGAAGCAACAGCATCTTGTAAAAGGAGAGCAGATGATAAACAATAAAAGCAATATATGATTGATGTATTTCTTTTTCTAGTCTTCCTCTATTTATTGAAAATAAAATGTCCTGATAGGTCCTATAAAGATCATTTCATACCCTTGGTTTGCATTAATTGTTACCTAATTTCATACTTTATATTTACCCACTTATTTCATGGATGCTTCTTTCCCCCATCTTGCTACTAGATTTATCCTCGCCCTTATCAATTAATCAAAGAAATCTATTTTCATCTAACAATTTCCTAAATTGCTTTGGGAGTTAACTTTTATTGAATCACTTAAATAATGCCGAAGTTCTTGGTTTGCTTGGTATGAAGGAAAATTGGATAGAACTGCTGTGCTTAAGGCCATCTGTGCTGGATTTAAGGAGACCACAGAACCTCCAGTTTGTTTAAGTGCAGGTAGATTGGGCCTGCTTACTGTCTAAACTAGGTGCAGTACCTTTACATTCGGGAAAGATCTTTTGTAACTCTTATTTAATATTGTCTTCATGCTTTGTTGACAGATCTCGAAACTAATGAGTGCCTTGAAAGAAATGGTGGTTGTTGGCAGGATAAACAAGCTAACATTACTGCGTGCAAGGTAAAACATAGATATTTTACTCAATATTATATTGCAATTGAACGGTGAGACTTTAGCTCCATATAAAGGGTACTTTTACTAATAAAAGGGATGTTGATTTTGTTTAGGATACATTCAGAGGACGAGTGTGTGAATGCCCCACTGTGAAGGGTGTGCAGTATCAAGGAGATGGTTATGTAACTTGTGAAGGTGCAAATCTTCCTTCTGTTAAATGAGATTTTTGTTTAATGAAGTTGGACAGTTATAGGTGATGGTTCTCTTGCGGTTGGACAAAGTTGGGAATTGGGATATCTATATGATGCCTCAAATCTTCTGAATTCTGCTAACATATCAGTTATACGTTTTTTTTTTTAATAACGCTTTTGGCTTTTCAACTTTTTTAGTTTTTTTAAAGTGATTCGAGTCCTTCAAATATTGCACGTGAAAAACCATTGTGGTTGCTACCTCAATCACATGATTACCTATAGATACTTGTGAAAGCATGAATTATTCAGTTCATTTGCCATGTAACCTTCTGTCTGTGTACCTTTTATTTTCCCCATCCAGTCATATAACATTTCTTATCTTTATGATACGAGACCCTACTGTTGAATAACATGAATATGTCCTGATTATGTTAGCCACATTGCAAGTTTATGTTGCTAGCGATCCTTTCCATTTCTTCCTTCATTGTTTTTCCCCTTGGCTGTGAGGTGGGGTTTGAAGGAAGGAAGTCTTTTGCAGTTGACTGAATGCTACTTGCTTTTTCTCGTCTACTTTTTCAGCTTTTGGACCTGCGAGATGTACAATTAACAACGGAGGTTGCTGGTCTGAAACAATAAATGGATTAACTTTCTCAGCCTGCTCAGTTCAGTGATTTATTCCTTATTGGGTGCCTTTTCCAATGATTTTCTATTATTCCGTAATTTTTTGGGGGGGTTTTGACCAAAATCACTGCTTTTCATAAAAGCAGGAAACCCAATTAAGAGGTTGTCATTGTCCACAAGGCTTCAGAGGGGATGGTCAAAAATGTGAAGGTGCTTTGTTCCTCCAGTTTTACACCTTAAAAAGAACATTTTATCTTTGTTCTTAACCCTTTAGGTCCTTTTCAATTACATCAGAATTCTTCATCTCCATCTGTTTGCTTTGCTTAAGATATCAATGAATGCAAGGAAGGAAGTGTTTGTCGTTGTGATGGCTGCTCCTGTAAAAACACTTGGGGTGCATATGAGTGCAAGTGCAAAGGTGACCTTCTCTATATAAGGGAGCAAGATTCTTGCATTGGTAAGATGATGAATTCAAGTTATAACTTGGTTTGGCAGAGAATTCCAGTGGCATTCATTTACCTTAGTAAATTAATACCATTCACATGTACTTGCAGTTATTTCCTGCTTTACATCAAAACTCACAACCATGGAAAGTTTGAATCTAAGATTGAGGTTTTCTTTGGCCAAAATCGTCTCAATGCCTTTGATGCAGAGTTTTGAAAATTAAAGTGCATAGCATTTTGAGGAAGAATTGCAAAGTGCATAGTTAATTGAAAATTAAAGAGAAAATACAGATAAAAAAAGCAATAATTTTGTTCCCTGAAACATATGAAAGACTGATTGAAGGCTGAATTAATAGAATGGTTAGTGTTGTAAAAAGAAATGTCTGATCTTTGTTCATCGTCCGTACAGAGAGAAATGGATCACGCTTTGGGTGGTTCCTCACCTTCTTGGTCCTGGCAGCTGTGACAGTTGCTGGCTTAGCTGGGTATATATTCTACAAATATAGGCTCCGGGTATGTCTAAACTACTTTGGATAGAGTGACTTTCCATGTTGCTTTATTTGTCTCTTTGATTGGTATACATTTATTTCTACTTGCAGTCTTACATGGACTCCGAGATTATGGCTATCATGTCGCAGTACATGCCTCTTGACAATCACCATAACAACGAAGTTCCTAGTGAGGTTGGACCTTAATTTGCGACAAAACTCAACAATAGAAACAAAGGTAAGTAAAAAACTTGTTTGCTATGCGTTGTTACTCAGCTTGTTTTGTTGCTATTACGGTGAACAGCTGCATTTTTTGCAGATGGAGGGAGGAGGTTACAAGCAATCAGTTGGATTTTATCCGTTATGCTTTATGCTGGTCCTGAAATTCAAGTGATCTATATATACATATACATAGATAGATACAGTTTGCGAAAATGACCAAAAAGACAGACTTCTTTTACTGCTATATATACAGGCACAGCCACCATGAGTTATCTTTATACAGAAAATTTCCTTCACAGATAGAATCCTCTTTTTTATATTTTTAAAAAGGTTTTTACTCTCTTTATGGTAGGTTGTAGGCAAAATAGTTGAGATGTAAACATAGATTGAAGTTCAGGTGATGACTCATGATCTATATTCTATTTTCTATACAAGTATAAGAAAAGTAAAAGAATAAAAGTGTTGTTGTAAAAGTAAATAATTCCTAGCATTACCAACAATTGTAGCTTGTAAGCAGATTTTAAGGTAAAAAAAAGTTGTGTATTTATTTCATGGGCTTGCTCTTTTGAAAGCATCATGTTTGTTTTGTTTTGTACTGTATTGGTAGTTACTCCAACTATTTGGCGAGGAGGAGGAGGAGGAGGAGCATTCATCGAGAGTCGAACTCAAGACACAACTAGGTGCTCAGTTTCATGCTTTCATCACAACCATCAATAAGAAATATCAGGACTTCGAAGTTGCAACAGTTTCAGTTCCTCCTCCGCCTCTCGACATCTTCAAAACACATATTTTCATCAACTATCTATATCAAATCTAAACCAAACACAAAACCCAAAATGAAAAAATAAAAGTTTATGTTAGTTCTGGTCTGAATTAGGATTATACATTCTTTTTCTTAGACCACAAAAGACAAAAAATGCGTTTGATCAATTGTAAATCGCTCTGCTATTAGTTGTGATTGGAAGAGCTGCCAGTAAAAGCCTCCAAGTAGCCTGAAGAGAAAAAAAATACAGACGTGGATTCTTAATTAAAAGGCATTGGCAGTTTTCCTTTTTATTTTGTGCCTGAAAAAGACATTGACAGTTGAAAGAGTTCTCTCCTCTTATTCCTTAAACCATTTTTTTTCAAAATGTACAATCTGAGAGCCTTAATATGTTGAAGTGATACATGCTACTGTGCAGTCATATAAAAAATGATAGAATGGAGAAAATATGGTTAAAAAGTATTTTTCTAGATAGTGTACAACTTCAACAAATATTCCTCGAGAGCAAAGTGATTTTGGGAACATTTTCACCAATAATCCCCACAGGAACATCTTCCATTACGGAAATGATGGAACCTCCTCACATCTCTTAGGATAATTTCCCTATCTGTTATCCTTGAGATGTACTTAGTAGCCTCATGGCAATCATTACAAACTCTAAGGTTCTTTGCAACTCTAATTGTGCTACCAGGAGGGCTATTGAGAATACCAAAAGCTATTGCCAGTTTCTCACTATGCCCACAAAGCAAAGTTTCTTTCTCCTCCTCATCAACATTATGAAGTACACAAGAAGTATCAGGCACATAGCCTTCCTTTCTCATCTTTTCTGAGAGGGTTTCAAGGAATCTATGTAGTTGTCCACTTTGTGGGTGTGAAGCATCACCAGCTACAAACTTGTGAACCTCATCACCGAACTCAATCCAGCTACACCCTGGTTCTTTTCTTACCCCCATTTCTTTCATCTTCTTCCGAACATCCATTGCCTTGTCCCATAGTTGAGCTGATGAGTATATGTTGGAGAGTAAAACATAGTGGCTTGCCATATCAGGTTCTAGGTGGAAGAGATTCCTAGCTGCAATTTCCCCAATTTCAACTTTTTGGTGGATTCGACAAGAACCAAGCAAACTACTCCAAGCCCCAGTCTTGTCCAATTCAGAGGGCATGGAATTGATCAATTGATATGCTTCCTTGACTTGACCGGCTCGACCAAGCAAATCCACAATGCATGCATAGTGATCTGGTGTAGGTTTGATCCCATACTCATCCTTCATCCTATAAAACAAGGTTAGGCCTTCACTTACCATCCCTGAGTGGCTACACGCTGCAAATATAGCAATGAAAGTAACTTCATTAGGCTTGACTTCCTTAACCTTAGATACTTCTGCCACCATACAGTTGAACAACTCCAAGGCTTCTTCTCCCTTGCCATGCATCCCATAAGCCATAATAATGACATTCCAGGTAATTACATTTCGGATGGGTATAATATCAAACACTTTTCTAGATAGGTTCAAGCAGCCACATTTTGCATACATGTCTACCAATGCACTTCCAACACCAACATCTGATGCCAACATGTTTCTTAAGGCATATGCATGGATCTCTTTTCCCTTTGCCAATGCAGCCAAGGTGGCACAACCAGGAAGAACTGTCATAAGGGTTATAGAATTAGGTTTAAGAGGAATGCTTTTCTCATCCTCATAATAGTCCTGATCATTCTTCTCTTTTTCAACACTTTGCATCTCATGTAGCAGAAGAAGTGCATTATCATGATGCCCACAAATAACATAACCAGTTATCATTGTATTCCAAGACACGACATCTCTAACTTCCATGTTGTCAAATATAGATTTTGAAATTTGTATCTTCCCCATTCTAGAGTACATATCCATAAGTGCATTTTGCACATAGTGGTCAGTCCCCAAACCTCTCTTCACCACATGTCCATGAATTCCTAGTTTATTAGCAAATGCTTCACTCTGCGCACATGCAGGCACAATGCTGGCCATTGTGGTGGCATTGGGGCAGAGCCCAGCAACCGCTTCCATTTCAATGAAGAGTATCAAAGCGTCCTCATCATGCTCATTTTGTGCATATCCGGTGATCATAGCATTCCAAAGAGCAGTTTTCCTATCTATGACACAATCAAAAACTCGACGACCACTTTGAACCCTTCTACAATTGCAATACATGTCAACCAAAGCACTAGCAACAAAAGAATTTTCAATCAAAATATCATGTCTCAAGGCATACGCATGAAGTTGTTTCCCAATTTCCAACAGTTCCAAGTGTGAGCACGCGGGCAGCACACTTGCGATTGTGACACCATCAGGCTTGAGACCTTCAAGAACCATGCGGTGCAATAACAGTAATGCTTCAAAAAGCATATCATTTTGGGATAAGGAGCTCAACATGGTGTTCCATGAAATTAAATCACGCTGCTCAAACAACTCAAATAACACCATAGCATCGTCGAGATGTCCTAGTTTGGAATACATAGCCATCAATGCATTATTAGTAAAGGTCTTGATATCGCCCATTCTCAAGCTGTATCCATGAAGCTGCTTTCCAAGGCGTAAGCCATCACGCCTAGGCAAATTTGAACAAGCATGCGCAACGCTGACCAACGTAAATGAGCTAGGCTCCAGATTATCCAGCAGCATAAACCTAAAGGCCTCTAATGCAGTCTCCCAGTCCTCAAACCGACACAATGCGGAAATGAAGGAGTTCCAAGAAACGGTATCTCTCTGGGACTGGGGAATTCTGTCAAACACCTTGTACACATCCCAAATGTCCCCACATTTGCCGTAAGCATTGACCAGGGTATTGGCCACAGTGACGGGGGAGGTTCCATAGCCAAATTTGAGAACGTGAGCATGAATCTGCTGTCCCAAGGCCAAGTCGCGAAGAGACGTGGCAGCCTTGAGGACAGCGGGGAAAGCGAAGTGATCGGGTGGGATACCGGAAGAAGTCATATTGACATAGGTTAAAATGGCTTGGTGGAATTGGTTGGATCGGGTACTGGATCTGAGAGATTCGGTCCATGAGACACGAGAGTTAGAGCGGGTTTTAGAAGGAATGGGTTGGTGGGTTTGGTCGGTTTGGAGGGAAGGGATTGGATTTGGAGGAGCAGTAGCAGATAAAGAGAGGGAAAGGCTGTGACTGTGAGAGGACATTTGGTGGTTATTAACGTAGTTGTTTTTGGCAGACAGGATTTATGTACTTGTTGAAAAGGCGGCGGGGAGTGTGTGGGGCCACTTTGGATTTCTAATCCAAGGACCAATGACCAAACCTAGGGGCACAACAGAATACAAGAACTTTTGGCTCTTTTGTCTTTGGTGGGTCTGGCCTAAAGGACAAAAGAAGACAGAGAGCCTCTTTTGCTTGAAGATAATCTTTGTCCGAGTTGTGGAGAGGAAGAAGAAGATAATATAGAGAAGATTTCTGCATCAAAGGAAGCTGCTGCTGCTATTAATCTTCATCTATCCAAATATATATATATATATATATATATATTCTGTTCCTCATGCACCCACCCCTAGGGTGGTTGGCCAAAACAGTTGCGTTAAGTTAAGTTGCGTCAGTGCTAACTAGTAACTAGTATTATGCAGGCTGACTGCTGTCAAACCAAACAAAAACCTCCTAGCCTAGCCATCTCCTATCTACATCGTCTCTGGTCTCTCAGCTTTAAGCTGCTTGTTTAGTTAAATTAAACTAACACCGGAGGAAAGAGGGCATGGAGTGAATATGTTTAATAAGCTGTTCAAGGTTGGTAAGTCTGAGGATGCAATAAACTATGAACTGAAATAATGGAAAAAGGATGTAAACCGAACACTGTTGTCTACAGTCTCTTGTGCCGAGAAGGAAAGCTCTGGCGCCCCCTGCTATCTTTCCTTCTCAGAAATTTTGACTGATTTAAACATTGGAGTGCATTCCAAAATAATATTTCCGGCGCCCCTGATCTTATTCTCTGTGGCTCAACATTCAGCAAGCTACACTCTCACCGGACCACAAATTACATCACTATATATGTATATGCACTACAATGTTCACCCATGATCCTGATTCCAAAGGAAATTGACACAAATTTCTAAAAAAGTCTTTTGACATTTCCTTGTCGTTGACATTTGAGAGTTGTCTTCTTCAATGGTTATCGAAAATTTAAAACACGAAGTAGTCCAATGACACTCGTTAACAAATATTTCTAAAGCATTTACAGATGGCTCAACTCCCATTGTCATTCATTGTGATTCAAATCATTCTTTTATGTATGGAGTTCGCATTTATCTACAAAAACTACAATGATTAATGATCTAATTATGCTAGCGTCCTTCGTTACGTTACCTAGAGAAACACTAAGATGTGCCTGAAACAAGGCTTCAGAGAAGGATTGTTTTTTCCCTGCCACTCTCAAACTCCCCAGGAGATTTTTTCTTCGGTAATACCCTCAGAGATGTCTTCTGCTGTGCTGTCTTGGTTAAAGAATGATAAAAGATGGATTGACATTAGGCATCTTGAGTCACTCTAAAACGACAAGCTGTTGAAACACTGGGAAAACCTGGCCTGCTTAATCCTTTCATATTCATAGTATCACATTGATCTTAACATCACGCCCCAATCTTGCAATTTGGTTTCTTATTCTTTCATATATGCTGATATGAAATGTTCACAAAATTTTGAGTTAAAGAAATCTGATTCACAGCTATTTCCAACAGTGGATATTCAAATGAAAACTCCATTTAGAACTAATCATCCAGTATCAAGGAGCTCATAAAATAAGAACTGAAATTGCAAGTGATAAAATGAGAATCTCTCATGTGCCCTGATCATGCCTAAAATGCAATTTAGCATGCATCACGCTTTCATATTAGTCCTAAAACTCATATTTAAGACGAAGTCCATAACTTAAGAGGCCTCGGCAGCAGGTTGGGTCACTCCAAACTTCAGAAGCAACTTGCTCACAGCCTCTGGTGAGCAAACTTGATATTTCACTTTTCCCGAAGGCAAGAGGAAGACCTCAGCTAATTCAAGTTTTTCAGAAGTAAGACTTGTACTATCCATTGTCTTGCTGAGCACCTTAAGTGCAAGCCGGAGAGCCTCTTCTCTAGTAATATCATCCTTGAAGTCCTGCTTAAGCATTGATTGTGCCGCCTGGTTGTTTGCCCCAATTGCAGCAGCCTTCCAACCACCATAATTTCCACTCGGGTCACTCATGTATAGCTGGAAACCAAAGTTTTTATCCCAACCAGCAAACAGAAAAGAAACACCAAATGGACGAAGCCCACCAAACTGTGTGTAGCCTTGTTTGGTATCACAGAGGGATTGCACAAGCTGTTCAACCGGCATTGGTTCTTGGTATGCATAAGTATAGCGTTGGGCTTGAACCCTGGCTGTGTTGATGAGTATATTAGCATCAGACATTATTCCAGCCACAGCACATGCTACATGATCATCAATCTTGTACATCTTTTCAGTTGACGTTGATGTGTGTAGAAGCTTGGAGGTGACTTTCTTCTCACCAACCAGAACTACACCATCTTTTGACAGTATCCCAATTGCAGTTCCCGCATTCCCAATAGCCTCCATCGCATATTCAACTTGGTAAAGACGACCTTCGGGGGAGAAGATCGTTGTGCGGCTATCATATCTTCGAGACATTTGTTATCTTAAAACTGAAGATAAAAAAGAAAATAGGAAAGTGGAAATTTTTTTAGGAGAAAAGTTTGTTTTTAAGGTGTAAAAATAAAGGAACAAAACTTGGATGAAGTTCTTTAAATGAACTTTGTAAAGTTCTTAAAATTGATTTAATAAAAACTTAAATAAAAAATCTAAACCAATAGATTGATGAAGTTCAATATGAAGATCAATAATATGTATTAAAAATGTCGTTAATAGTTCAAATTTAATGGTTACTTATTTAATGGTAAAAATTCTATCAAAATTTTTACTAAAAATGCTTATCTAAAAATATATCAAAATTTATTATTATTATTATTTTTAATTTTACACAGTTGATCTATATAACAAGACCTTTCAATATATTGGTTTTGATTTTTGATTTAGTTTTTATTTAATGATTTTTAGTACAGAACTTCATGAACTTTACTTAAATCACTTCATCTATGTTTTCCAAAAAAAAAAGAGTATAACAAGCGTACAAATAAGACATAAAAAGTTTCAAGCAAACTGATTGAGGAAACAGTCAGGTAAGTATAAAACTTACCAGCAATTAATAGCACAATCTTGTTCCTTGAGTGAAATTAGAAAATGTTCAAGCTCATTTCATTGCAATTCATAGGATCATATTAAAAACCATCATAAATAAATCTCAATGATAACGAGTCCAATAATAAATATCATGCAATATCATGATTCAGTCCCAAAAAATGATAACTAGTCTTATCAAAATCAAAGTAATTGGAATCTACAATTAAATTTACTACTTTTGAGGGAAACTTTTGAGATATCAGCAGCCTGTGTTTATCTCAGTAGGAAAAAAGAAATGTAAAATGCTATATAAGAAGCTAGGGAGAAGGAAGAATGAGGTCTCCACTTAAAAGAGAGAGAAAGTGGAACATGGTTTCTCCCAAGGAAGATATGTATTTGGGCAACGACGAAAACTTAGGGACTTTGCTCGTGAAAATGTATAGGACCGAAGGACTAATTTCACCTTGTTAAGCAAGAAAAATATTTACTTACTAGGAGTAGGAATAGGAGTAGTATACTATAAAGTTAATCACTCAGCAAACTAAAACCCTTATTGAACATAAATTCATTGGCTAAGCATGGAAACAATCGACAAGACCCAACTAGTCTAAATTAGCAATTTCTCAAATGATTTAGTATTACGAACGAAAGGAGAAAAGGGTATGGTTTTTGCGGCGATTGGAGCGACGACTGCCGATCGATAACAAAAAACTATAGATTTGAAATGGAGACACTCAAAGCAAAGCAAAGTACAATGGTTGAGAGAAAAAGAGAATGAGAAATTTGACCTGAAAAAGCCGATCTGCCTTCTGCTTCTGCTTCTGCTTCTGCTTCCGGGTTGAATTGGGAAAAGACAAGGAGGATTAACCCAAACACCAAGAAACCTCACACTTGCATTCGCCTAAATGTTGAATTTCCATTTTGACCCTCGGCCTTTCTTTTTTTCCTTTTAAAGCTTTTACTACTAAAAGGAAAAAGGAAAGTGGATCAGCCCAAATCTGACCCGCTAAATGTGGATTTCTAAATATACGTTGGAGGCGTCATTCTTCGACTAGCAATGGGCTGATGCCCATGTTCCGATATTCACAGCAGCAACCTTGGTCCCGAACTTATATGAAATCACCCCAATTGATAATTAGTTTGCCAATATTGATTTGCATTAATAATGAGAACAGGAAAATTGTTTCTTCTATTCATTGGATTCCTATTTCCTTGTTCTGTTCCTCTTATGGTAACACTGCAAGCCAGGACTCCTCTTCTGTTGGCTGTTTGCGGTGGTGGACGTTGTGGGACTTCCGAGGATTATATTTTTAAGAAACCGAAAGAGGATATGAACAGGCTAAACACCGTCCAGGTCCAGCCCAGCCGAGTCAAAATTTTAGTTAAGAGAGCAAATAACTCAGTCTGGTATAAAATTACCCAACAATAAACATTTACTAACTAGTATATTCTAATCCGGTCATCTTGACCTTGAGATGACAAAACAATCTAAGGAAATTACAAATTTCTTACATATTTTCCATGGTACTAAATCTTTTACACATGCTCATGATCCATCTGTAGACAATGTTAAACGGCCCACTACGATTCTAATTAATCGAGGTTTAGGGGTAAGACCTGAGGGTGATCTAATTCCTCCTCTCTGGCCTTCTCCAAACATAGGACAAAAATACGTCTCTATACACTTCAAATATCACCACATTCGAATTCAATATATATATATATATATATATATATATATATAGATAACAAACACTCGAATTTAATATTCTCCTAATAGAACGCAAATTTGGAATAAAATCCAGACAGTTAAATAACTCAGTTGTTATATTCTAGCAGGTTTAGAGCAGCTCAGGAAAAATGTCAGAGAAAACAAATGACTATCTACCATCTACTACCTCGCTTTGCAAATAATACAACACAATTACATCTGACTTGGTTGCCGGACCCCCAAAATTGATTCAGAAATTTGGATGGTATCAAATCCAAGGTCCTCGTGTAAGTCATGCCAAGATCATTTGATCATGCATCCAAGAAATTCTCAGGATGCAGTCCTCTCCTCTAGTTGAACTAAAATGCCATTCGACCAGCAAGCCTGCTCTCCAGTATCCTTCTGTCTATTGCTGCATCAATAGAGCTCATCTGAAAACAAAATCCATACCAAAATTATGAGAGGGGAACCATGACCATCCATCAGTTGGCCAAAACAGATAACGTTAAAGCTTGGTCCTATGCAAAAGATACCAAACTTTGCGAAAGAAGCTGACCTGGAAAAGTCTGAATTCACGATCAATAAAATAAATTGTAATGAAGCTACGATTGAGGAAAAATCTGTTGGGTATCATCTTGTTCCACCCAAACCCCACACTTCAAAATCAATCATAGGGAGAAAGAATAACTCCAAATTTTAAAGGATCATGTACATACTCTGTTTAACTGAGTAAAATGCTAATGGGGAGAAATCCTTGAGTGGATTGCAGCAAGCTTGTCAAAGTTGCAATTACCAACTACCAGCAAAAATAATGTAAATACCTACTTGAATCTTTTGACGCCCAAACAGTTGGGAGGCAATTGCTTGCAAAGTGGAAAATCATATTTTAAAATAAAAGCACATGCCTATCAATCAACGGGAATGCTTGATTAAAAGGCTCATAAATTCTAAGCATATTGTGTTCTTTTTTTAATATGGAATAAAGTAAAACACGATTCACATGAAAAAACCTCATCAAATATGTAACAAAAGCATATACAACTGAATTTGGAGCATAAAGCCTACCCATCTGGTTAGATGTGCAAACCCACTCCATATACTAGAGAGGTAGTTATGACTTACCTGGCTAGTTTCATCATGAACCTGATACTTGGCTAAGGACATTCTTCTCTCTTCCTGCAAGTATTTAAATTAGAATCATTTAGTAACAATTTGCAATCATCAACTAGAAAAGAGCAAATAAAAAATGCATTTAAAGAGAAGTTAGGAACTAACCATGGACATTGCCTCATCATCCCAAACTAAATAAACCTCGTTTACAGCTTGCTGTATAGCAGGAACTTTATTTGCAATGACAGGGGGTGGTCCAATTGATGGACCACCAGTATTTGGACCAGAGGCATATGAATGAGAACTGACTCCAGCTCCAACTATAAGTAAATAAAAGCAAAGAAAAAATAGAAGTTACAATAGTAGGACAAAAGCAAGTTAACTTGGAATGAAGTAGAAGTACAATAGAAGGGCCAAATGACAAGGAGTACAAAAATTATCTCAAGCACGTTGCAAGATCCAACTTATTAAAAATTTCAAAAGGGGATCCACTCTACTGAGAAAAGCAACAAAATTGTGGAGGAAAGAAATTGTACATTTTCCAAAGCAATAAAGCAAAGCATGTAAAGAACTTGTGCTAAGTCCTCTTATTATAAGCAGGGGTGATTTAAATGCTTGCATACTGTGAAAACAAGAAGAAAGCTTTTAATTGTAATGAAAATAGTAAATACATGGGCAGTGGTAGTCCGAAGGGCTAGCTCACCTGCCATATGTAATCATTGAGTTGGGTTATGCCACAAAAGATAATTAAGTTTATAATTGCTTAGAATGGCAGCCTTGGGACGCAAAAAAGAAAAGGGAGAACATTCTTATGCTATAACATGTTTAGCCAGAAAAAAAAATCATCAAAATTATAAAGGATGGCAAACGCCAAAGCCATTTTGTTCATATGGTCTTTAAAGTTCTGCCTCGGTTTTTTATTTCCATTTTATCATGGAGGGAAATTTCCACTCTCCAACATTGTGTAGATATAGCCCTATAGACAACTAACAATATAGAGACAAATTTTTTGTCTAGTCATGAGAACAGTCAAACCTGGAATATTAGCAGCTTGATAGCTGCCTGTCGCAGAAGTATTAACACTTGAATGCACTTCAATTGAGCCTTTTACTTCGGCAGAAGTGCTTGGTAGAACACTTGTTGGCAAAGTAGTAGAAAATGGTGAGCTCTGAGTAGGTATATTGTTATTGACAACAGGGAACAAGGGTTGGGATACAGGAAGAGTAGGTGTTGATGTAGGCAATCCAGGTGGAGCAATTTGTGAAGGTTGGAGTGCAGGTGATGTTGAAGGCCTCACACTTTGCACTGGAAATAATGGCTGCTGCACATATCCCGTAGGCGCAGACGGAGGAACTGAAACTGAAGGATGCCGTGGGAACCAAGGCTGTGGACGAGGAGGCACTGCCCAACCAGTAGGAGGTACAGGCACTGCAGCATTATAACTAAGGCAAACAACCACAGAGAAAAATTATTAAATAATTTAAACCCATTGCATGTAAAATGGCCCGATGTACTATGTTATTGACTTTTCAGGATGATGGCTATCTTTATGAAAGCAAACTGAAATGTTGTATGATTGCATATGTACACATGAAAAGTGCCCCAAAATGAAAGAAGTGATGAAGAAATAAGCCTATTATTCTTACATAATTCCAATTATAAGTTTCAACAATTATATTTCATAACCGACAGGCCAAACAATAAATAGAATAAAATGTGCTAAGATAAAAGTCCGAAGAGAACATACACTGGCTGCACTGTTCCTAAAGTTGATTGAGGAGGATATCCAACACCAACTGGCCCAGGCACCAAACCTCCCATGAGCTGAGCTGATGGAATATCCAATTTGGTTGCTTTTGATGGAGCATCTTCTTCTGCAAGAAATTTTAATTTTATGCATTAGGAAGACAAAATAACAAATATAAACTCATAATGTCCATATGCAATAATGTCAAGCTTGTTAATTAACAATTACTCTGTGAACGCTCTAAGCACATGTACATCTAGATAACATTTGCAACAAGATACTAGTTGACATAAAGGAAAATTCATAAAAACACAAAAAAAAAACAATCGAGTAGCAAAAGTGGCAATTAGGTGGCAGTTAATTGTGCAAATGTACATAAACACATACTTTATACGTTTGTAAGCAACAACTCAAGCTATCATCATCTGATGTGGAACATAGTTATAAATGATATATCAATATGAATACCTTCTTCTCCATAATGAGTGGTTAATACATCAGGTGGGATTCCTTGCATTCCATATATTTCAATGTCAGTAGATTCTCTGCCAGGTTTTGCGTTGGGAACCCTGTAAAAAATTGTTGTCAGTGTAACATAGCAGGTCTACAGATAGAAAGCTCTTCAAAATTGAATTTTAGGTTGTACTCCATCAAATACTTTAGACTTAAATATATTTCTTGGACAAATGTTCAAAGCAACAAAATTACTAAGTTATCTATAGTAAAATATGTGATTATTAATTAATACAGACACAAGAAAATGACTATAGTTATCTATCTGTTTTATCTTGTCCACAGAAAGTGAATGGAATGCAACAACTTCTAGAGATCAACATAACTGGGACAAAAATATAGTATTCTGACTGAGAGCAATTCTCAGGAACCTAGGTTTCATTTGGTTGCCAGCTCTACTAATTGGTTTTTTCCTCTGAAAGCAAAAGGTAATGAAGTGCCATTTAGACATAAAAGCAAAGTTTTGTACTAAAAAAAAAAGTCATGCTATTTGCTTGGGCCATACAGAAAAATATGAAAAAGCAACAAGCAAATACCAAAGTGACAAAGCAACCAAGCCTCAACTTCTTTCACTTTCTTTGATCAACCAATTTATTCTTTTAGTTTTTTTTTTTTTTTTGGCAGCAAGTGTCTAATAAACTGAACAAGGAAAAAAGCTCACACAATATAAACCTTATTTAGGAATTCACTAGCATAATCTAAATCTAAATGAGCTAGTCTTCCCCACTATTTTTTCCTACACGATATTTTTCTCCAATATGTATAAACAGTTAATGCAAAAAGCGATGAATTATCCCCTAAAACTAATGGAATAAAGCCCTGAACGGATTACTTAGTCGCCAGCCCCACCCCCACCAAAGAAATAAAACAATTAACATAAATAATATACGAAACAGATGAAATTAAGTACAAGTAGATATAATAATTAAAAAAAGTGTAGGAAAAGGGAGATACTTGGTCACGGACTCCTTATGAACCTGAAGCACATGGATAGCCATACCACCGGCAGTGGAGAGCTTCTTGTGACAGACGTGGCACTTGAAGTGCTTGGCCTTCTGGTGCTGAACGAGGATCTTCTCGTCGTCGAATTCTCTGTCGCAATAGTAGCACCAAACCTTGGACGATACTCTTTTCTTCTTCTTTCCCATTTAGGTTTCTCGTCGGCGATTAGGGTTTCTCCTCTGACTCTGATCTGCAATTTTCTTTAATTTAGTTTTTTTTTCTTTTTTTTTTTGATTGATCTGTTTATGACTTATGACTGCGGGTGGCGCCTTTTGTTAGATCTTTCCACTGTTGCATGCCACGTCTGTGCCATGTGCGTCTAAATAGGTCCCACTACTTACTACTCGCCTCTCTTAGCTTCTGGGCTCCAGCTGCTTGCCCGTGATGTTTAGGTTTGGCCCAATAGTTATTGGGCCTACTCAACTCAATGGTCTAAACAGAACAGGCTCCTGAAAAAACCCACTTCATCATCTATACCCTAGTCTAGCAGCAGTAGTATTCGGCAAGGTCCAAAAACAAAGACCATATCACTGGAGGGGTTAAATAAGTGGTGCCTACGTGAAACGGTCTATTAAAAAATTAATTTATGTGTTACGTGTTAATCTAATATTATTATTTAACACGTTATGCTAACATAATTTGCGAAGATTTAAGATCATTACTCACCGTGTACATCTATAATTTTTATGAGTCGGGATTGATACTATTTTTTATGTTAAATCGGATCATATGACCCATTAATATGGTTTGATAAAATATATATATATATATATATACTTATAAAAAGGAATTAAAATAACTCACTAAAATAACAAATAGAAATTGACAATCACTTTCCTCTCTCAGCCTATTACTCCGTAACTCACTTTCCCAATTTCATCGTTGCCCTTCTTCCACGATCTTTGTCCAAAATTCAAATTCATTCTTTTAATGGTTAAGGTACCACTAGTATAGCATTTTTTATTTTTATTTTTGAATTTTTATATTTATTTATTTTCGTATTCATATTTAATAAATTTTTTAATTTAATTTTATTTATATTATTATAAGTATTTAATGGATATGATTAATTCTCATACACATAATTATTTAAAAAAAATTAATTTTAATTTTTTTATCTTTATCTTGCATATTTATATAAATTTTTTTAATAAATCAATATATTTTAATTATTTTAAAATAATAATTTATATTATTTAATAAAAAATATATTTACTAAACATATAATATATATATATGTAGGATGTAGGGTAAGTACTAAAAAAAAAAAAATTAAAATTTTTTATTATTTTAATTTTTTTTTATTTTCCCCTTTCTTCCCTTATTTTTTTCTTCATTCTCCGCTCTTCCTTTTCCCCCAAACTTAATGTGGTCACTAATAACCAAATTGACTCCTTTAAAATAAAATAAAAATGATTTTATCCAAGGTTCACATGGCACCCATTTTTCTCTTTCTTGTATGCCATAATTGGCATGGCACTCGGCATGCTCTGGTTTTCGGTACATGGGTTTTGTGATGGGCTTTCTGTAGATGACGTAGCATAAGTCAAGGGCTCATGGATCCCCTAACACTAGATACCCAAAATCAGAACCAAAAGACTCAATTAATCGGGCTTGCTCATTGACTCCTCCATCTCAGACTAAAAGGGTTTTGGTTTTAGATGCCGGCATAAATACAGCACCACTGTCTCTCAATAACCATTTCAAAGCCTCTCTTCATTTTTTTCCTCCAACATTTCTGCAGCAAGGTGAAGATTTGAGCCTCTGAGGGATCAAAGCATCCATGTCCAGCAAGAGGATTTCGGTTCTTACCTTTAACTCTCTCACCGCTTTATCCAATGTACGATATTTCTCTGATTCGGCCACATATTTCAATAAATTTCTCAGCACTGCCACTGAAAGATGGGATTTTCATAGCCATGATAGTGCATATGATACCCCAAATCCCATAGGGTATGAGCATAAACAAAATGCTCAAAATGATATCAATATGCAGAATCAAGCAGAGTCGTATGGGAAGGGGCTTATGAGACAGAATCAAAATGACCTTAACTTACAAAGATTTCCAGAATCTCGGGGAAGCCTGAATGAGAATTTTATGCACAACAACTGGCAATTTCAGCGAAGCCAAAGTGATCAGCATGTTCCAAATTTCAGTCAGTACCAGCAGAATCCACAGGATATTTATAATGCTAATTCTTATGGTGAAGTATCAGCTACTTCTAATCCTGAGGGAGATTCAACTGATGTTTCTGAAACTATGTCAAATAATGCTACGGTCGAGATGCTGGATAAATTTTTCAATAAAGGGAATGTTAAAGAAGCAGTTGAAGTTTTGGGGTTGATGGAAAAGCAAGGTGTTCATGTGGATTTGGCCCGAATTTTGCTGTTAATGAAGGCATGTGGGGAAGTAAAAGCTTTACAAGAGGCAAAAACTGTTCATGAACACATCAAAAGATCATTCTCACCTCTTAAAATAAGCATCCATAATAAGATTTTAGAGATGTATTCAAAATGTGGTTCTATGAATGATGCATTCGATGTATTTGACAAAATGCCCAGGCGCAATCTGACATCTTGGGATACTATGATAACATGGCTTGCTAAGAATGGGCTAGGGGAGGACGGCCTTGATCTATTTTCTCAGTTTAAGAAGTTAGGGTTGAAACCAGACGCTAAAATGTTCATTGGAGTGTTCTCTGCTTGTGGTGTTGAGGGTGATATAAATGAGGGAATGTTGCACTTTGCGTCAATGAGCAGTGAGTATGGCATTGTCCCATCCATGGAGCATTACCTGGGTGTTGTCGAAATGCTGGGGAGTACAGGACATCTGGATGAAGCCTTCGAATTCATTGAAAATATGCCATTTGAGCCCAGTGTTGATGTGTGGGAAACTTTAATGAATCTCTGCAGAGTTCATGGGCACTTGGAACTTGGGGATCGTTGTGCTGAGCTTGTGATGCAGTTAGATCCCTGTCGCTTGAATGAACAATCAAAGGCAGGCCTCATACCTGTGAAAGATTCTGACCTTGCAAAACAGGGTGAGAAGAAGTTGGCAAGTCAAAGTCCTCTTGAAGTCAGGAGCAGGGTCCATGAGTATCGTGCAGGAGATACATCACATCCTGAGAATGACAGAATATATGCACTGCTAAAAAGTTTGAAAGAGCACATGAAAGAAGCTGGTTATATTCCAGAGACGCGGTTTGTTTTGCATGATATAGACCTGGAAAGTAAGGAAGAAGCTCTTCTTGCTCATAGTGAGAGACTTGCTCTTGCTAATGGTCTCCTCACTACTCCAGCTCGTGGACAGATTCGCATAATCAAGAATCTTCGTGTCTGTGGCGATTGCCATGCTGCATTTAAGATCATGTCAAAGATTGTTGGCAGAGAGATCGTAATGCGAGATGCTAAGAGGTTTCATCATTTCAGCGAAGGCTTATGCTCTTGTCGAGATTATTGGTGATTAAAATAAAACTTGAGGTATCATTCCTCTATTTTTTATTTTATACTTTTTTTGAGTGAAAAAGTTGTTAAAAGTATCTGTAACCTGTAATTTATTAGATAATAAAGAAGATAAAAAGAACCCAGTAACGAGCACTAATTTGTTGTAATTACTTTCTTCTACTTGTTGATGTATTTTTACTAGACATTAGCTGCCTGCAATTGATTATATAAACAAATACTGTTTATGCAGAACATCCAAATGCTTCAAACTCAGTATATCTCTACCAGTCAGCTTTACATTGGTGGCCTCTGACTCTTAAGACAGACAGGGAAAGCTGCTATTGTGAACCGGCTCTCAACAGAAACCAAATGTGAAAGGATTGATTCTTTCCAAAGATGAAGTTAGAAAGAAACTGAGAGAAGAGAAAAAGGGGGATAGATGGGTATTAAAAAATGCAGTGCTAAGTAGACTGGAGGGGCTCTTGGTTGAGGATGAATTTTCTTCATGTGAGAGGCCAATTTTAGTGCTAAGTAGACCTGATTCAAGGCTCTTTTATCTGCCAGGCACCAATAAATGGAAAGTTTTTAATGGACAGTTCCTTTTGGAAAGTTGATTCCATTGGTTACCCAGTGACTGATCTTTTTAAGTTTGATCTAGGCTTATTATGTGACAAAAGATAATGAGATAGAATAAGAATGATAAAAAGAACTGTTGAATATATTGTCATTTTACGCCAATGGAGATTCTCTCTCACTTTTTGAACTCATTAATGATAGCTTTTTTTTTTTTTTTTTGTATGCGAGATTAAGTATATTTGTTTGGTACAGTTCTAGAATTTTACTTGCCATATTGTTGTGGAAGTAAAGGTTTTACTATATCATTTTTTTACTAGAAAAAAGATTTAGGTATTTTTTTTTAGTATACTTAAATATATGTTAATATTAATAAATTATAAAACTATCCATCATGTTTATATAATTTTGATATTTAAATTATCCATCTCATTAATATATTACTAATGAAAATCTATTAATTTTGATGTTTATATTCATGGTATTATTATTATGGATATAAAAGATGGAATTATCCTTCCCTATGTAGTTGAAAACAAATAAAACAAACAACAACAACAACAACAAATCGTGTCGTTGTCTTGCTTTAAAAGTAAAGTAGCAGAACTTAAGAAACATGTCTTTTACCGAAAGAAACAAAAATTGCAATACGAGAAAAACGGGGAAATCAAATCAGTCTTTTGGCCGGGTTGGTCAAGTGAGGTGCGATTGCTAAAGCAAAATCCATAGACCTTAGCCTAGTTCATATCACTAAATTCATAAGTGAACGGACTGCGGAAGTGGAAGTCTTTTGGTCAGGCAAAGGGAATCGGTAAGTATCATCATCGTACAGGAGCAGAGCAGCTGCTATGCTAGTCTTGCCGATCAAAGTGCCATCGTTGTAGCTATGTTGTATTTGATGTTTTCTGTTCACCAACCGTTCGTCTAAATGCTCACGTCTTTCCTTCCTCTAATCCTCGTATTGCATCTTTTCAGTTTATATAGCTAACCATATTTTTGCGATGGACAAAATATCGGCTGCTTGTGCCATGGAATGGAGCATCCAGCTCGACAAGGCTCTCCGCTCCAACAACCCAGGTTTCAGCTACTTCTCTTTTCCTTTTTTTTTTTTTTTACGAACTCCAAACCAACCAACCCCATTTCTTCTTCTTCGTTTTAAGCAAGTATTGATGTGAAATCCATATGTTTCTTCTCCAACGAATACAATAGCAATACCATCTGATTTCTTTTGTTCCAAATGAGCTTTTACCACTAACCTGAATTTTTCCTTATTCAGCTCGAGCTGTTGAGGCCATATTACAAACTGGGTCAAGACTTGAACAGTGGAGACAAGAACCAGAAGCAACTAAGTCAGTATGCTCCATCTTCGGTTTAGTACCCGGTGAGGACAGGCTTTTTGCCAACACTATACTTTTAAGGCTTGCAGAAGCATTTCAGTCTGGTGATAAAAACATCAGGCTATCTGTTGTCAGAATTTTCTTGAAGAATAGGAGGTATGATAGAAGCAAGAAAAACAAGAAGCAAACGAGACGAGCTTTTCTGAATGGCAGAGTGCGTAACCATGAAGAACTTTTGAGGAGAGTGAAGGTTGTTTTTGACACAGGTGATATTGAGTCAAGAGCAATGGCTTTAGTTCTCTTTGGTTGTTGGGCTGATTTTGCAAAAGATAGTGCAGAGATACGTTACTTGGTACTTTCCAGTATGGTCTCTTCTTATGTTTTGGAGGTGAGACTGGTGTCTGGAACATCAACGTTTCTTCTGCAAAAACTCAAATGTTCTTTTTGTTTATTACTATATTCTTGCAATAAGTTTTTGTTTTTATTTTTATTTTAAAAGAATGGTGATTAGCTGAGCTTATTTGAGCCTAAGCTAAGGTTTTTAACTTAAATTTAGGATCCTCAAATGTGTTTAGACGTTATATACTCACAAACACTCACATGTGCAGATAAATATTTTGCCCCTTAGATTTAGCAACCCATACCCACCTTCCCACACAGAGACAAGAAACAAAAGATCAGAGATCTTATTGGCTATTGCACTTATTGACACTTGCAGTGACTTATGATTTTTGGAAAATGAATAGGACTTATTTGCAGCCTTTGCTTTGGTTTCTATAGGTGAAAGCATCATTGTTTGCTGCTGGTTGCTTTTGCGAGTTAGCAGATGACTTTGCATCTGTTATCTTGGAGATGCTGGTGAATATGATGGCTTCCTTAGAAACACTGCCGGCTGTAAGGTTGGCAGGTGCAAGTGTTTTTACTCGAATGGTTTGCTCATATTCAGTTTCAAGCAGGGCTTACAAGGTTTTATCTATCTCTCTTTCACTTGGTCATATCCTGAAATATATATTCCAGTTTGAATATGTAAATGTGTCTTTCTGGTTATCATGCAAAATTATCACCAGGCCTCCAAAGGACAATTCTCCTTAGTTTTTATCCGTTACGGTACAAGTTTTTCTGGGTATATTTGACATTTTATTTTGCAGGGGATGCACTTAATGTTAAATGAGTTATTGTCCCTTGCATCCCTTTCAAAGTGTTGTGTCTTACTCTTGAGGCATATAAATGCATATATATTCAAAATTTTCTAACATATCATTCTCTGACTTAGCAGAAAAGCATGACCATTTTTATATGTGCAGGCATTAAAACCAGTACTTGTGAGGTAATATATTTGGTTAATTTTCTAACATTAACCATCTGTTTTCTCTCATTTTAAACTGAAAATTTGAGAAGGAATCTTTCACTTAGCACACAAATTCCTAAAAAAATTTTACTAGTCTACTGGTCCAATAGGAAATGCAACAATACGAAGATTTCAGTGACAAGTAGAAATCCATAAGCTATTCAAAAAATAATTCTATTTGTTTGTAACAAGATTAGTTTTGTCAAATAATTTATACTTTGACCAGACTCTCTGTTTTGGATCTTTTCATCTTAGCTACAATTAATTGGTACTATCTTGCAGACAGGTGTAAAGCTGGTTTCTGATTCTTCAGAAGAGAATTTTATCATTTCCATGCTGGTTTCACTCTCAAAACTTGTTTCCAAGTCAACAGGTCTTATTTCTGAACAGGTATTTCTTCCAGCATCAGTTCATGTGGGTGGGGCAGGGTGCAGTGTAATTCTTGTTCACCATCTCTCTTTCTCGAAATATATCCCGCACATCTCTTTGTTTTCTGCTTTTATTTAGCCTTGTTTGTGGGATTATACACTTATAATTTTATGATATCTTTGTGTCTTTCCATTTGGATACAGGTTGATTTGCTTTTATCATGTCTTAGTCAGGAAAATACTTTGCAGTTGCGACTAACAGCATTAAGGTGCTTACATCTTATTTTTGTAAAAGAAGGGTGTTGCTCTTCTGTTAATATGCATGTGACCAAAACATTATTCAGCATACTAGATGAATCTCAACTTCCATCAGTCATGCAATGTGGAGCTCTCCAGATTTTACATAAGGTTATCTCTAAGCCAGTGATAAACTGGTTGTTTAGTATTGTTAGATTTAAATTCTGTTGATGCATTTTGGGCAATTTGCAGATCCTTTTGTACACACTACCTAACCTCCCTTCTTTCGAAATGCTTGAATTTGCTCGGATGTTAGCCATTCTAGAGAATGCTTCACAGTCCCCAATCATGTCAAAGAGCCTTGCAGCTCTTCGAGTTCTGACAGATGTGTCAAACAAACTTTGGGCAAGAGCTGAAAGTGAATCTTTTGCTGTGTGTTCCTCACCTCTGCCATCACGGGTCATCTCATTAATTATGGCACAGCTCAGCTCACTGGTGAAGCCATTACCTGATCCTTGTCAGACTAATTCCAGAATATTTCAAGAAGTTAAAAGCCTCCTCAATCTTATTCTTCAGCTGGTTGGGGAAAATCCAGATTTGGGTGTGATGGTGCTGGATGAAATCAGTTCATTTATTGAATATTTTGTGAATCTGAATGAAAGTTTTGTGGCTATTGGACAAATTGGTTCATCTGGGATTCTGGACTTTGAAGGAGAAAAATGCAAAGTCTTCAGGTCCAAGCTTTTATTTAATATACACAGATTTGTGGCTGCCTGCCTTCAAAATCTCAATGAAGCTAGGGCAATCACTACCAATGTCTTTGACAAAGTAAAGCTTCTGGTGGAGCATCTACACCATGGCAGGGTATTTGATTGCTATACACATACCATTTACTCTTTACTATTGCATTCTTGTCTTGTTGGAAACATGGATATTTTTCATATGGAGCACCCATTTAAGCAAGAACTTGCTACCCTTGAGCATGCCAGCAAGATGATGTCAGAGAGTGATAACTGGCATGCCTATAAAGCTGGAATATATGCGGCGTGTCAGGGAGCATGGATTACAGCAACTTTTATTTTTGCACAGCTAATGACAAGAGTTCAATCTGATTCCTGTTATTGCTGGTTTAAATCATTAGTTCAGTTTTCCTATTCTGAGGCAAAAGTCCGGCTTAGTGTCTTGGCAAAGCAACAATCCATTTTAGCAGGTTCACTGGACATTAATGAACTCCTTGCTTCTTTTAAAGATAATTTAGTTGGACAAGATGCTGCAGGGAATAACAGTGAGCCTAATTATAGGGATGTGCTTGTTGGGGCATATCACAATCAATGTTCTTCGATAGAAACATTAGAAAGAGTTGACATATCTAGAAAGGCATTCTGTTTTCAAAGATGGTTCTTTGCTCTGAGAGCAAAGTTTCTGGGGGCTGCTGGGGAGATTCTTGAAGTCTTGGACACATCTAAAGAGGAAAATTTTAGCAATATAATTGAGGTTCAGAACAGTGCTTTGCCCAACCTCAAGCATCTTAAAAAATTCACTCAGTTATCTTTCCGATTGAAGAGACTAGCAAAGGAATTGGATCTGATAAGCTCATCTTTCATTGGTATGGATGGTGAGAGCTCGAAAACCATTGCAATGCTTGCACTTGATTGTTCAGTTTTGGCCTTTACTGCCGGATTCCCACTTTTCTTTCCAAATCTTCCTGGTTATAAAAATTCAAGAACTTGTGATCATGAGGACTCCCAGCAGAATTATTTAAGTTCAATGCTACTGCAAGATTTGATTGGGCGTCTATTGCACATTGACTCTGAGATCAGGGTAGATCTCTGTCTACTTTTAGGTAATGGAGGACATACTGAAAAATGTTTTCACCGGCAGTGCAGAAATCATATATTGACAAGTGGGCATGAAGTAAGGGATATACTCAATATAATTAGGAATGCTGTTTCCACCATGATTCGTTTGCAAAGTGAGACGAACGGGATGCAAATTGAGGCAATAATGTTCCATGTTACAAAGAATGGGTTAGAACTACTGTTAGACACCATCAAGAAATGGCTTCAAATCCCATTCCTGATCCCAAAGTATTTTTTTAACACAAGGTATTTGCTAGGCACTATTTCCACTGTTCAGCTTTGTTTATACGCATGTTTTCAATTACAAAAACTTTTAGTTGATCGCTGAAGATTGAATAATGATTCTCCCTTACAATTATCTTCTATAATGGTGTATGCATTTCTTGTGTTAAAATTGAATTTCTTCCTAAGACCATAGCAGAACTGGTTGTGATAACTGGTATCTTTTGCAACTCTATAGATAACTGGTATCTTTTGCAACTCTATAGTATCCTGATTTCTGAAATTGAATTAAATCTCAGGCCTTTAATTGGTTCAGAGCTCTTTGTGTTTAATACAGACACAAGAAATCAAAATCAGATTAGTGTCTTGCCCGGCTTTCAAGTCTCACTAAATCTCTGTCTGCAACTGAGAAATGCCTCACCTGAGTTCTCACTTCAATTGAACAAGTTGTACTGCCTTCTTCACTGTAGAGTGTCCTTTCGGAGGCCATCCGGTAGTGAAAGTAATAATCAACAAATGGAGTGGGATAGTCATCCTTGGGAAAGTGAGGACATGGTAGAAATGAATGAGAAGTTATTTGACTATGTGACAGAGTGTGCAATCAAGAGTAATCATGGTAAGCGTTTCTGGGAAAATGATATTAATGATGACCAGATTGCAAATGGAGTTGTGTGTTTCGAACCAAATTCTAAAGGGCAAGGATTTTCAAATTGTGTACTTGATGTCTCTCATTTTCCAGTGGGTTCTTATAGAGTCAAATGGTATAGCTGTTGTATTGACAATCAAGGTTCTTACTGGAGTCTTCTGCCGTTGAACTCTGGACCAGTATTTACTGTACGGCAATCTCATGTTAATTGATCTTGTCTTAGACAACTGACTATGAGTGCAAATATAATGTTTGTCTTGGAGGTGATAAGTAATAAGGTTAATATTTCATTTCTTTGCAATTATATGTTTGTTACTTTGAGTTTTGCATATTTTTCAAGATCCTTAAGATTTGAAAATTTTCATGATTCTAATTTTTACCTTTAATCTAGTTGCTATTATTTTATGATGTAAATGCTACAATAAATCAAAGACACAAAGAAAAAAAAGGAAAAAACGACAGATTGCTGTAAGATGTGTTATTGAGGGGTATTGTCTTGTCATTTTCATTGTGTACAATATATCTCCTCCATAATTTTCTGTTATTTTGAAAAAAAAAAAAAATGTGTTTTAAGGTGTAGGAACAAGATTCGCAATAGCGTAATGTAATCATACATCTATCCATCCATCCCTAACCTTAAGCTTCTTTAAAAGTATGACGATGATCACCCTGCATGCTCTCCTAATTTGGAAAATCAAAATGAGCAGCAACGTGCAATGATAGTTTCTTATACATTTCCCATCTAATAATAAATATATACTTTGCAATTGCTTGTGTCCGTTACCAACTGTTTTTTGTGAATGAAAACAACTTCAATAAAAGGAAGTGCTCCTGAAGTAAAGCCAAGAAAGGTTTCCTTTTATTGGGGCTCAGTTACTTGAAGATGAAGAAGCAGTACTATAGCAAGCAATTGAAACTACCTTCCTTACGCACCCAATTCCTTTACTTCTCATCATTTCTCTTTCTTTCTTTCTTTCTTTCTTTCTTTCTACCACCAGCGAGATGGTGCATTTATGGAGCATCAATCTTAACACACATTTTATGCACGTATTTGCTAAAAAAAGGTTTATAATTTATTAAAGCACTGTAAAATCTATGTGAAATTCACCCAAAAAAAAAATATCTCCATTAATGAACTTTATAAAAGATAATTATAGTGCATTTATGGAGCATTAAATTTCTTTTCTCCTTTTCATTCATTTTACAAACTGACAAATTCCAAGAATATCAGCAAAAAGAGGAAAAACTTGATGATCATTATTCATTAACCATGCTGAACCACATAAAACAACAACAACAACAATAATAATAATAATAATAATAAACCATTGTTGATCCTCCTAACAATTTTGTCCAACATTGTTTCTCTTAATCTTATATCCAATCATTAATGAAATAAGCAGTCAACACCCCCACCAATATTATGCGATTGATCAGCAAACTGTTCCATGAAACATCTTCAATCTTATTTAGTGCATAAATCAATCTCCCCTAAAGTAGTATATGTAACCCTCTTTTGCCTTTGCCCTTTGTTTCTGAAAGAGAAAATACCTTTTACACAATGTCAAACTTGTTAGGGTCCGTAAAGTAAGAAGTTGGTAACTGATTACCTTTTTGTCAGAGAAGAAATTAAAATGTCCAACACACAAACAGACGTCCCAAAAACATACTAATTATATTTAAAAAAGAAACTAAACTGTGATAGGTGTCATGTGTGTGATCCAATATTATAAAACATTCTAAAAGATTTTCCTAGGAAATCTTAGTTAGCCTCTTTTCTTTCCATGTTCCTCCAGGTTCTTGCCTTCTATCATTTTAAGTATTGCAAGAAACCGTCTGTCCCTCAAAACTCAAGAGAACAATGGCAAGGGATGTTCTTGCACTCTCCATGATATTGGGTTTGGCAAGTTTGCTCATAATTCATGTTTCTAGCGATAATTCACGGCTGGCTCAGTTTTCTGCGGCTCGTAATTACCATGAGCAAATGCGCCAATTGCAAGCGTTTAAGGCTTCTCTTCTAATTGGTTCATCAGTCTCCCTCTCTCCGTCCTCTGCTCCGCCACTACAGGTATAATTTCTTTTTCTAGTCAATCGTGTTCCTAACGTTAATTTCCTCAAGTTTTCCATGACATTAATTATTGCATAAAATACAAACTGACGATGGATATAGGCAGAACCCGCTCCACGTGTGTATCGCGTAACAAAATACGGAGCCGATCCAACAGGAAAATCAGACAGCACAGAAGCACTAAACAAGGCAATAGCGGATGCATTTCAAGGTCCAAGTGAAGGGTTCTTGATGGAAGGGATCACTAATCTTGGAGGGCCACAAATTAACCTTGAAGGTGGAAATTACCTCATCAGTAAACCACTAAGGCTACCGGCTGTTTTTGCAGGGAATCTTATGGTATGCTCCCTAAAGATTTTGAATCAATTGAAATGATTGGCTATATATTAATTAATTAATGTCCTAAATTTTCTTGATGAGAATATATAGAAGAAAATAAAATATATGTATCATGCATCTCATTGACGTTCGTATGTATATTAATTTCGGTACGTATTAGCATTGCCACACAGCATTTGGTCTTTGTGGTGAAAGATCCGTGGCAAGATGAACTGTGCCTGAAAAACTGCATTCATAAAAAACAAAACATAAAACTTCTGCAGTTGTTGAAAATTGAAATTACAGCTATATTTTATCATATTAGATGACATAAGCACCTTCCGATTTGTTTGACACTATGTTCATTTGCCAAATGGATCCTTTAGACCATCTCGTGAATTTCAATGACCATTCATTGCTGGAAAAGTCTGTGTCAAAATTCATTATTTTAATTTGGATTGGAGAAATAATCACATTTCATAATTTCCTATCTAGGAAAAACCATACCGTCACTTTCATCAAAAGGCTTTACTATTTTTTTTTTGTCAAGCAAACAAGAAATCTACAGCCGTGATCGATAATGACCAGGAAACCGTATATCTGATGATCCATGTGATGTAAGAAAAAAGTTCTTTTAATTTGTCATGAAAACTGAAATGTAGTTGTTCCTATTGGTTAAAAAGCAAAAAGCAGAAGCTTGGGGCAACAATTTCTTCTTGTTTGGACAAAATTAGCAAAGATAGCTGAGGAAACAAAATTAACAACATCAAGTTTAGTTGAGGAAGATCTCCAATTAAAACTAATTTCATCTCCATTAATTATTCATTAATTTATTGACTTCGATTTTTTTATGAGACAGATCCATGGAGGGACATTGCGAGCCTCAGATAATTTTCCAGCTGATGGGTATCTTATTGATTTATCGGCATCATCGGCTATCAGTCAATATGGCGAGGAAGGAAGCGCCTTGAATTCACAGCTTTCTTCATTATCATCCTATAACTACGAGTACATAACCCTCAAAGACCTGATGTTGGATTCTAATTATAGAGGTGGAGGCATTTCAGTTGTAAACTCACTGAGGACTAGCATTGACAACTGCTACATTGCCCATTTCACCACCAACGGAATTTTAATCCAAGGTGGGCACGAGACCTATATCAGGAATTCTTTCCTGGGCCAGCATATCACCGCCGGTGGTGATGAAGGCGAAAGGAACTTTACTGGCACTGCCATTAACCTAATGGGCAACGATAATGCTGTCACAGATGTGGTGATTTTTTCAGCTGCCATAGGAATAATGGTTTCAGGTCAAGCCAACTCCTTTTCTGGGGTGCATTGTTACAACAAAGCAACAGGTTTTGGTGGCACGGGGATTTATTTGAAGCTGCCTGGTCTGACACAAACCCGGATAGTGAATTCTTACATGGATTACACTGGTATTGTGGCTGAAGACCCGGTGCAACTTCATATCTCTAGCAGTTTTTTCCTTGGTGATGCATTCGTTCTCTTGAAATCAATAAATGGGGTAGCAAATGGAGTGAATATAGTGGATAACATGTTCAGTGGCTCCAATAATGGGGTTGAAATTGTGCAACTAGACCAATCAAAGGGGCCTTTCAAAGAAATTGATCAGGTTGTAGTTGATAGGAATAATGTTAATGGGATGAACATTAAAGCAACAGTTGCAAGAGGGGCTGTTCAAGGGAATGGGAACTCGTGGACAATTGATTTTAATCCCGTTCTTTTATTTCCTGACCGGATAAAGCATGTGCAATATTCAGTAAGCACAGACGGCAGCTCATTTCCTAGCCATGCCCTGTGTAATTTGTCTGAAAATCGTGTTGTGATCGAGTCAGACGTCGCTGTATCGGCAAATGTCTTCGTTACAGTGGATCAGGCTTAAGCAGCTGACGTTATTTATTCTTATTATTATAATTTTTTTTGGTCGAGATTTATCTTACTTGACAATTGTGAATATGGGGAAACGAGGCTAACTTTTTCGATACTATGTTTCTGTTGGAATCCATATTTCAATTTACAAAATTCAGTGTAATTGTTGAAAAAAAAAAAACTACTGCTGATTAATTTAATAAATAAGACACGATTACTTCATTTTATAAATGCTTATGAATTGTGGAGTTTGTTTTAGTAAATCAGGAAACACAAAATTGATAGACTGTTGAGTACTGTTACTATATATTGATTCATAGGTATGATCTTTTTTTTTTTTTTTATGTAATTAACTTTTTCTATGCCTTGGAAAAAATTCAATGGCTAAGTTTTAGTGGTATATAATTGTTAAGGTATTCTCTCCTTCAAACTTATTCTGCTTCAGCTTTATATATATATATATATATATATATTCTATATGTGTATTAATTTATTTGAATGATGCATGCGTACTTAGAGAATTCATCAATGGAGTATATCATACATATTTACGCAACCAATTATTTATATATAGGTAAGTAGGGTGGGTTTTTTTGGGGGATGGGGTTGGGGGTTGGGTGGGCGTGCATAAGAAACGTTATATAGCAAATAAAGTCTGGCCCAGTGATGTTCTCAGTGGATTTTTTGGGGCTCAGAGCAGTGTAACAAAGGCTGAGCAAATGGAGGTCCGACCCAGTCATATTTTTACTTTCATCTTAGAGGGTTGGCCCAACCCCATTGTTTAATGGGTAATATAGAGGCTCCTAATTCCAGCGGAATATCCTTTATGGGCTAGGGGATATTATAATTTATAAATAAGCAGAAACAAAGCCTATAACTAAGCCCAATTTCTCATTAAAATTAACGGTACATTTGAGATGGATATGGGTTTTGCTCTAGATTTCCCAATTCCAATTGAATAAAACGTGTTTGCTGACTGTTAACACTGGAAGAATCTTAATTGATTTCTATTTACACGAGGCAAATTGTGAACAAAAGGTACATAGATTCTCTTGTGAACAAAATTAATTATTTCCCCTTTCATCTGATATATTCCGAAGCCATTCATTTGGATACTTAATTTCAACAGTATTTCATATCTTAGTTTGAATGCACCTTTTAATTCAGATCATGTTCCATACTTAATCGATCAATTAGGTGAAAGGAGGATCGTTGCGAGCGCCAGACACATTTCCAGGAGACCTGCATCTCATTGAAGTATGGTCTCCGAATTGTCAGGTCCTTAAGGAAAAAGCATCTGTCCCTACTGTTTTTACCCATGCAAAAGATCATATTGTAGGAATCTAATATGAGGACATCACCTTCCGCGACATTCTTTTTTGATTCAAGTTATCAAGGAGGAGGGATCTTCATTATTGATTCCGCCAGAATTCGCATAAATAATTGCTTCTTTCTTCACTTCTCGACGGAAAAGGATATTTCTAGTTGAAAAAGGCCACGAGACTTTCTTACCAAGCTGTTTCCTAGGACATCAATAGTCCACAAGTAGCGGTGGAGACAGAGGAGAGAAAAGTTTTACAAAATGATATCACGGATGTTGCCATCTTCTCAGCAGGCATTGGAATTTTATTAGGAGGGCAGGCTAATATTGTCGCAGGGGTACACTGTTACAACAAAAGCAACATCATTTGGTGGCGTGGGAATTTTAGGGAAATCAGCTGGTTCACTAACTAGGATTGATAAATGTTTACCTGGATTTCAAAGTTATATATAGTCATGGAAGACCCTGTTGAAGTTCATGTTACCAATGGATTTTTCTTTGGAGATGCTAAAGTAGTGTTAAAGTCAATTAATTTGTGATAGATCAGAACAATGTGAATGGAAATTAACGGTAGCCGGCAATGGAACAAAATGGGTTGCTGATTTTTCATCGTTATTAGTAGTTCCAGATGGAATTAATAATTTCCAGTACTCATTTCATATTCAAACGGAGGCAGCTGCAGGGTTCCCTCTACACTCTACATACTTATATAATTAGTACTAGCAGTATGCTTAAAGAAAAATCCACTCTTGCAGTTTCCTTTTCAATTTATGGGAATCGATGAAAGGACTTGGAATAGTATATATATACCAAAACAATAATAATCAACTTCAACAAAAGCTTAGGAGCTTGTGAATGCTTTACACCCCCCCAATATTACCTTAATTACCAATTCTGTGAGTTTCCTCTCTCTCTCGCCGCTATTTGATGCTTTTGAATTTACTTTGCAATTTTTTCCCTAGTCCGAAAATGAAAACAAAAACTAAAAACAGCAGAACGTCAAACAGTGATCAATGATCTCAAGAATCCCATGTCGCTTAAGTCAAGCAATGATATATAGGCTACACATTCCGTGGTGGATCTCTACTAATATGGCCAGAATAATTTCGTCACGTTTCCTCATGAACTTAATTATAGTCTTCACGCTGTAATTAATGTAGGAAGCATGCTTCTTTTCTTTTTTAATTAATCTGACCTTTTATGCCACAAGATTTGTGCTAATTAATGTGAATCAAATGTGATTATATATGACGTTTACCCAGGAATCATCTTAATTTATATATTGAGTGGCAAATTTTGGATTTGGAGAAGTTCTCTGTATCATCGTAAGTCACTTTGAGATTATTGGTTGAATTGGCAGCTAGCATCACAGAAATGAGAACCTAATTTAAGTTGAATCATTAGAATTTTTCCAAATAAATCCTGAAATCCAAAATAGTATTAATTTAACAGTGGTATAATATTACCTTTTAAGATAATTTACTCGTTTAGTTCAAAAAAATCTTTCTATATATATATATATATATATATATATATATATATATATTATAGGACCAATGCTGTTGTTATTTTGTGTATGGACGTAGAATTGTCATTATTATTATTTATTTCATTTGGTGGAAGGAAACTCATTTTTTGGTTCCCTTAAATTTGGTGACGAGATATTTAAATCCCAAATCTCTTATTTGGAAAATTGATAAAATTATCAAAAAAAAAAAAAAAAAAGTTAATCTGATGTTCTCTATTATATATATATATATATATATAGCAAGACAAATGTGACATGTGGACCATGACACCTTACACAAATATACCATTTAGTGGAGTAGTAGCCAATCCAAGTAAAACTTGATTGCCAACTTATCTATCCAACCTAGAATTTGACATCCCGATGACGAAAAGCAGAAGATGGAACTATATAATATATCAGAATCATAATTATTCATATCCACTTTTTGTTGTTTCTCCACTAGTAATTAGAAGGAAATCTATTTATACTCTTATATTTGCAATTTTCTGGGCTTAATTTTATGTGATTAGAGATGAGGAAAGAGGAGAGAAAGTTGTGGCCAGAACTCAATTTTGAGACAATATTGCATGTTTTTTGAGAATTAGTCAAGGGAGATAGCTTGTCCACCTTTATGCCAGAATAATTTTCATGTTTCTCTGCAACTTGATGAAACCAACCAATAGAAATTTGAAAAATTCTTGGAAAGAGAGTGATGCTTTTATCTTGCTTTGAAGCGCATTAAACAAAAGGGAAGACAGTGGATTATCAAGTAAGCATAAGCACATCCCATGCCACTATCCCATCACATTTACCAACACCATATATTTGATCAGCCTCATTGCTCTTTGGCCTCATGTTCCTCTTGCTTGCTGTGTGTACGTACCATGTGTCTGCTCTCCCACTCCATTTTTCACATCTCTATCTGCTCATACTTAAGTACATTCAATTTAATTTCGCCACTTCTCCCTCTCTCCATGGCTCAAACTTCACCATCTCCCTCTACTAATCCCACCTTAAGCATCCCCTGTCAGGAGACACAAGAACCGACAGTAGACATGAACCTTATGATAATCGTGGCAGCCATGTTGTGTGCCTTTGTTTGTGCCTTAGGCCTTCACTCCACGCTACAATGTGTGTTTCAGTGCACGCATCGTGCTGTGACCGAGCCCAGGGAATGGGTGGCCGCGCGTAGACTAAACTCGGGTCTCAAGAAGAAAGAAATGGTAGCTTTGCCAACTTCAACTTATGCCAATTCAGGCTCACCATCATCTGCTTCAGGTTGTGCAATTTGCCTGACAGATTTCTTGGATGGTGACAAAATACGGATGCTTCCCAAATGCAACCATCGCTTCCATGTTGCTTGCATCGACAAATGGCTGCTCTCTCACTCTTCCTGTCCTACTTGCCGGCATAGGCTCAAGTCCAATGACTCTATGCCCTCCTTAGATCAAATTGTTACAACTTTGTGAAGTTGTTGTAGCAGAATTGATGTACTGTTTTTAATTGCATATTTTCTTAATTTCGTCTTCTTCTTAGTCATTTCTTCGCGGAATCTGAATCTATATATGGAGCTGATGGACAATTCTGCAACATCATAAGTTCAGGGGCAAATGTTATACTAATTAAAATACCGTCAGGATTTACAATTTTTGCACTTTTGTACGGATTCAAAAGAAAAAAAAAAATTTATCAGTCATTAGCATGCATATTTATTCTATATCTCTTAGAGATCAATTATTGAAGAGGCTTGTAGGTAACAAATAGTATTACTGATCCTTCAAAGACAGAAAATTAGATCACTTTATATTTTAATTAATTTTGGAAAATTTCTTTTTATTTACTTTTTTTGCCCTTTTTTCTACTACATATAAACATACATACGTAAATACTGTTTTTTCAAAAAAAAAAAAAAAAGAGTGAAGTAGCTGGTCTGGTCATATGCAAACGGATCAAACCAGTATTTCCGTATGCCTAAGCTAGCAACCTTGAAGCTTGTTTGCGAAAGTGGATTGGATCCATCACCATATGATAGAAAGTAAGGGACAACATATAAAGCGTTAAGAAAAGCAGAAAACGACATGTAAGACGTGATACAATAATATTGTAATATCTTTCTTTTTTTTTTTTTATCTAGAAAGCAAAAATGCTAGGTATAGCAATAATGATCCTCTCCGCCACAAAGTTTGCCATATCCACTGATTAATGCAAAAGAAAAGGTTTGTTGGATGTGGAATCTTTTAAGTTTGAGGAAACTAAATAAATAAATAATAATAATAATAATAATAATAATAATAATAATAATGTAAAACAATACACAGAGTAAACATTAGTTTTTTTGTTTCTTTAATTCCTCTGCCACTAAAATTTAATTTGATGATGTTGTTCCGATATGGACTCCCTCGTCGGACTTGGTTTCTTCCTAATTAACTTCAAAATAAATAGAAAATGGGGGTAATTTCACCCCCAGCTGCAAAAAATAAAACATGATGGAGTTAAAATATGAAATAGTTAAAGTGATGTTATCTTACATTTAATAAATATTTAATTTTTTATAATTTTATATTTAAGTTAAACCATTTTACTTACTGTAAATTAATTTTAAATTGAATATTTAATATGATATCAACGTCAGAACCTTTAATTTTTTCTGTTACGCTTTTCGAATCTATCATGTAGTAAATTTTTTTCATCTCTGCCTACACATAAATGTAACTTGTTAAAGTGATATTATCCTTCATCTAATAAATATATAATTTCTTATAGTTTTATATTCAAGTTGGATTGTTCTATTTACTATTAATTAATTTTAAATTAGATGCTTAACAAAAATTAATTCAATTAGAGTAGTATTATTTTTTTTTCATTGCAAAAAATTTTAAAAAAATGTAGCAGTGATTTTTTAATTAAAATAAAAGGGAAAAATATTAAAAACAATTTGAATCTAATCATACAAAACATGATGAAGTTTCTAAGAAATATTTTCATGTAGATCATATAGTATTGAATTAATATATTAGTACAAATAGTTACCTAATAATTCGGTTATGATAAAAATGGGACTAAAGATAATAATAAATTAAGGAGAATTGTTTAATTAATTTATCTTTTTTACTAAAAGATACTAATTAGATTAATACTATTACTAAATGTAAAAGTTGAAATTAACTAGAAACAAACGTAAAAAATTTGGATTGATGAACAAAGGTGAGGTAGTTGCGGATGAAACTAAGAAAAAATCTTCTTGATGGGTCCCAAAAATTAAGCCCCACTTTGTTTCTTAAGTTTTTATATCATTTTAACATTTAACTATTAATATATAGTTTGCATCACTTAATTCGGGACATTATATTTAATTATTTTCATTATATAGAGTAAATGCATATATATATATATTTATTTATTTATTGCACTTTGCACATGTTATATCCAAAGTGCATAAGTACACCACAATCATCCATTACATATGTAAAATTCATTAGTTTGAACTGGTCTCACTTTGCGAGACAAGTATTCAAAAAATTAAATTAAAACCATATTATAATGATATATATAGTTCTAATTTAATTTATTGGATGGTTTATAAATTAATAAGCATTTCGATCGAATCTTAAAAACCTTTTGGCTTTTAAGTGGTTTGACCAGAACAGAACAAAAGGGAAAAGATCAGACAAGTAAACATAATTTAATACTTTTGCATTGCTCGATCATGACTATATATTCTAAAACACTTGATGAATACCATTCAGTTACTTTTATTCACCTAATAATTTCTCACTTCATGCAGTAAACATAATTTAATACTTTCAATAAAGGAATTAAGAATGCTAAGCTAAGCTAAGCTTTATGCAAGGAGAATACGAATCATCCATGACAAACCCTTGTGTGATCTCAGAACCTCATCTTCTAGGGAAACAAGATGATGTAAGAAGAAAATCATCAGCCGGGATACTGTCAAAAGAAAACTCGCATTCTTGTTCTTCATTTAACTGCTGCTCCTGCTGGTAGTGTTGTAGATGATCTTCTTGCTGTTGCACTTGTTGAGATTGCGGAGACCAATAATTCTCAAAAAAAGGCTGCGATATTGAAGCATGATCAGTACTGTGATAATCGTGCTCCTTTCCAAGTGCGAAATCTATATTGACAGGACCTCTTGGGTTGCCAAATGAAATGGAAGTGCAACAACGGCGACAGCCTGTGTATTGTTGCACCAAGGACCGGAAGTTTTTAGCGTCGGCACCGAGGAGTGTGGTGGGTGTCCTTTTAGAAGCTCTGGATCGACTCCGAATAGGCTTTGTTGTACATCCCTTAGGAATCGGAGAATCCGAAAGAAGTATGAATGGTTTGTTGATAGAGTTGCATCCATTCACTAGAGCTAGAAAGAGTTTCATTCATGGTTTTACGGGTTGGATTAATTTGCGCTTTTTTTTTTTTAAATTTTTCTGTTTGTCTTCTACTACCATGAATATAACTGCAATTTCCACGAGGTTGTAACTTCCCCACGCAATTTGAACTGTAAGCCTCCAACTTATATAAATAGTGGGTTGGTGACCACGTCTACATCGGCCTGGTCAAAGTAATTGACATGTCAATTCTTGACCATTCTTAATGGATCAAATAGGGGTGACTTATTGCCAAAGGATGTGGTTGTTTCCTCGAAGCAGCAGTTGTTTATGTCAAATGAGATCAACTTAGGTTTCAAAGTTAAAACCCTGGCCTTCTTTTTCAGGGTTTATCACAAAGGAGGAAAATAGGATTAGGGTAGCTTATACTTAGAGATATAATCAATGGAGTTCAAGTCGATATAATATTAAATTTGAATTCGAACTTGATTCGAAATTTAAAATTTAAAATTCGACTCGAATTTAATCAAATTTTATTTTTTTAATTCGAATTCGACTCGGTATAAAAATCAAACTACTCGAACTCGTTTGATTAAGCTCGATTAACATATAAAAATAAATTTAATTTTTATATTTAACAAAAATTTAATTATTTATGCTCGAGTTCAAATTCAAGTTCGAGATAGTTTATTAATTAAAATAATAAAAATATATTAAATATAAAAATTCGATTAAATTTGTTAACTATTTGAATCGGATATAAAAATATTTAAATTTAATTCGATTGATAAATAAAATTATTTAAATTTAAATTTGACTCAATAATAATCAAATCAAATTTAAATTTTATTTATACACTTGCTTATTCACTTCGCTGCTCGAAAAAGTCTAAGGACTGTTTCGTTTTTGCAGCTTCTGCTCTTCTGGGTTTGGGAATTGGGATGCTCACAATTGGCCAACTTTTAAAAGATGATTTCGAAGTTGGGCCTTGTAATTCAAGTCAGGCTTGGTTGTTGGAGCTTATGCTCAGTGTCACGGGTCGAGACTCAAGCTCCGAACCCGCGCGGCTTCAGGACCCGGACATTCACCCTTCCGGCGTCTCAGATCAGTCTTCTGCCTCGGTTCACACCCTTGTGAGGTATTGTCCGCTCTGGCCCCCTGGCCTCACGGTTTTGTCCTATAAAAGGCGCCTCACAAGGCGGAGATGGTGTGAACCCTTATATACCCCAGTGACCCTCCTATTATGTTCGATGTGGGATTCAAGACTTCCCCTTAGGTCCGTGACATCCTCCCGCACCCAACCTCGTGACGCCCTCGTCACGGAGGCCGGCCACCCTGCCTACCTCCCTCGAGGCGCTCGGCGTGGATCGAACGGTTTAGGGCTGGCTCTGATACCACTTGTCACGGGTCGAGACTTAAGCTCCGAACCCGCGCGGCTCCGGGACCCGGGCATTCACCCTTTCGGCGTCCCAGATCAACCTTCTGCCTCGGTTCACACCCTTGTGAGGTATTGTCCGCTCTGGCCCCCTGGCCTCACGGTTTTGTCCTATAAAAGGCGCCTCACAAGGCGGAGATGGTGTGAACCCTTATATACCCCAGTGACCCTCTTATTATGTTCGATGTAGGATTCAAGATTTTCCCTTAGGTCCGTGACACTCAGCCTGCGACACTGAATTCAAAACTCGGCTCCATTCATTCGACTCGATAATCACAAAATTATGACTCTACCATCATGCCCTTCCTTATCTTTTTTTTCCCTTGATGGGAGTGTTATTTACCCTTGTGCTACATTTCTTTTAAGAATGAAAAAAGGGAAAATAGAAGCATTCTCTGTTAAGATTGTAATTTCTTCATGATAACTATTTCTTTTTTGTCTGGATGCTGATCATCCAAAAAGCGAAGACTTTTGATTTTTTACGTATACCCTCTTCAGATCAGATGAAGGTGGTAAATTATAGTATGTCTTGTCTTTTTTTTATTTTGACTCCAATGTCAACCGAAGTGAGATAGTGTTTTTATATACATTGAATAACTTGATGGATTCAAATTTTGCTGTAGGAAAAAAAAAATGAAACTTTGATGGGTTCGTTTAGCGTTTGAAGAATTGAGTTTTGGCTTCCTAATTGAATAAAACCTTACTTAAATCATACTTCTGCTCTGAACATGAGGAGACACTACTTAAACATGAACTTTCCTCCAATGTTGCTTGTTGATGTCCTTTAAGAAGGAAACGAATAGTAATTCCTGTTTCCTTGTGTATGATACGAATGCAAACAGAAAATTATTTAACGTACTTAAATAAAGACATAGTTTCCCGATTCATAATCAAATTCTGACAGATAAACAAACACCACAAATAGGTGATGAATGGTTAGATAACATAGTCCTTACAAGAGGTAATTGCTATCATTTGCAGTTTCATTGGTGTAACGGTGGTCTCTATTAAGCTCCTGTAAAGAAATATTGTCCAAGTCGAAACCGTGGTGAGCATTGTCAAGTGATACTGCATGTTGTTGTTCCTGGTACAGATGCTGATGTTGCTGGTGAGATGCGTTCTGTTGCTGCCGTAGCTGCTCTTGATGACTTTGTTGATAAAAATAATCGTTGCCGGAAGCTGACATTATGGAAGTAGCGGTACCGCTTTGATTCCGTTCAGTCCCGAGAGCAAAATTCAAGTTAATCGGGCCTCTTCTGTTCCCTAGTGAAAGGGGTGTGCTAGGACAACCTGTAAATTGTTGCACCAAGGCTCGAAAATTGCTGGCGTTAGCATTGAGAAGGGTGGTGGGTGTTTTCTTTGAAGCTCTAGACCTTCTTCTTATTGGCTTTGAGGAAGAACCCTTAGGCGTCAATTGATCACTTGCTGAATGTAAATTGCTTGTTCTAGGGCTAAGGTTGCTCACCGGAGAGACACTTGTTGCCACTATAGTGGAATCAGAGAATCCCAAAGATGATGCTGACAGTTCATCAGCAGTTTGTTCATAGAATTGCATCCATTCATTGGAGGTAGCCGCAGTGGTGCTCATGGAATATTATTGAGTGACCACTCTCCGTCTGTTTTCCCTGCTTTTAGTTCTTTCACGGAAAGGAAAAGCTTTACCTTCAGTTCGTTTATATGGACACAAATTCACAATCTCTGGTCAAAGTAGACAGGTGTATTCTTGACCCTGCTAACGAAGAAAATAAAATGAGTTGAACCCAAAGTAGAGATGCTGCCTGGAAACAACATCTGTTAACATCAAATGGGTCATGATGCGTTTAGGTTAACTTTAGACATTGGGTGGGTGAATTTGGAGCCTTTTGAGATGGTCTTTGCTTCTTGGTCAAGCTTATGTTTAAGGGAATTTAACATGTATTTCCTAGTTGATACAATAAATCTTGGCTGATTTCCCTCTTTTCTTCTCCCTCAAGTTTTGCATACGTAATATAATGATAGATATACTATAAAAAATCAAACAGTCTGAATTGGATTGGCAATGTGTCATGATTCAGATTTGTGATGACAATCAAAGCAATTCCATAGGACTGACCAATGAGGCTGATGGCTGAATTTGCCGGTACAACATGCACTAAATTCTATTAGTAAATTTTAAAAAGTCAACACACCGGCTATGTACTTGGCTCTAGAATCATACTCTTTTCACATTGCCATCCATCTATTTGCATTTATAGGATTACAACCTAATTAATTGAGGATGATCATGGAACCTGATATGCCGCTATAAATACATTCACAAAACAAAGAAATATATAAATATATATATTTTTTATATATGTTAATTTGCACACACATAGCTACAACTCTATGCTTGCTATTTTGGGGTGTGGGAATCCATATAACCAATGTTTCTTCTAACCCCATTTCCTAACCTATTAATTTGTAAATTGCAGAGAGAGTCATCATTTTAAAATTTTGACTTTAGAATTTGAGCACCGGCAATCAGGAAGGAAATTAACGAAATAGTTTGATTTAAAGTAGCATATAACATTATAAAAGCATTTAACTTTTTCTTTTTTGAGTTGCAGCAGCCATGAGTTGATCACCGCTCTTCAGTTTAGGCAAGCATATGTCGTTACACCAAACTAAAAAAAACGAACAAAGAAGTTTGCAGTCAAGTATCCTATTCTACAATCCAGCAAGCAAGCAGCATCCTTCAAACCAAATAAATATTATTTTAAAGGGCATATTGCTGAAGATGAGATATAGAATGACAAGTGATGTAAGATCTTACCTATTACTATAAATAAATTTTGACGGTTCTTTTCTTGATAGTTACATATATATTGAAACTGTATTTTACCGAATAAAATACTATTGATATTGATCAAGTAACTCGTGCGAATTTAATGTATGTTTTTTTTCAACGACATAGACTTTCAAGTACGCAATCTAGAATATAGAGTGATAAACACTGATGCGTCTTACCAGGCAGGGATTGTTGCTTCTTTTTCTTGTTAACCAAGTTTACCAGATGAGGTTTTGACCAGAGATTACTTGCCCCAAATGCTTTGAAGCGTCATCGTTCCAAAGGAATTATTGAGAACCAGTTTTAATTTGACTCAGGGCTGGCTGGTACTTATCCTTTAACCTAGATAGTCAAAAGAAAAATGAGAATTTTAATTTGCTGAATTGGTATTGGTTTCTCCGGTCCATTTTCCATTTTTCTTTTCTTTTCTGTTCTGTTTTCCTTTACCTCATTATTAAGGCAAATGCATTGGCTATATGATGAATGGGAAACAGTTGGGAAATTTCGCTTCGTTTCAAAATGTGAAAAGACTATATATTAATTAGTAATTATATTTAGTTTTGACCATTAGGAAGTCATTGTGACCAGTTTGTGAAGAAGCAGATGATGTTAATTGGTCATAGATGAACAAAATGGAAATGATCATGGAGTGGTGGAAATTTATTGCCCTAAACTCCTACAACTAGACTAGTACGTTTTGACTTGGTCTCCCCATCGCCCCCTAAAAATAGACATGCATCCTCCAATTCAGTGGCTTTGCTACACCGGGAACCTGAGCACTGTCCGCTGCCGCTTCCATATTTTATATATATATATATATATATATATATATATATACATACATATATATATATATTTTTATCCAATTGAAACAAAACTCAATTCAAACTACCACTTAATTTAAACGGGACAGCAAAAGCCAGATTCAAGAAAAGCCACAAGCATGCAATTGCACCGCACAACTGCCAGCTACACTGCTCTTTGTTTTTTATTTGTGTTTGTAAGTTGTTAAGATAAACCAAACAAAAGGACCGAAAGCTTTGTTGCCAATTGCCAAACATATTTAGGAAAAGCGAGCAGCAGGTCAGGTCAGTTGAGTTGGCTTATCAACTTGGCCAAACCAATTCACACACACACACACAAAGGGAACAGAACCACAAATGAAGTATCTAACTAATCGTTTCAATCATCATACAAATAGCAATTAGTCTTAACTAAGAACCAAATGCCAAATGCCAAAGGCCATCTAGATTCTGGAGGCTCAAAAGCCATCCATATAATTATGTAACTGCTCAATGCTACGCAATCTGTTCAACAATATTACACTACTTCGGTCATGATATTTACTTTGAATTGATATTAAAGGACTAATACCAACTAGAGACCACATTTCGAAGGCTACGGTGCATGGATGATAGAATTGCAAATATAGAGAGAAAGGAACACTCCGTGCTAAAGAGAGATCAATGATCATATATATTATACAACAAGTACATTTACATTTAACAGGTGGAAAACTTGCCTATGACTTAAAATGAGGGGAGTGAACAAAACAAAAATCACACAAATGGAAAAATTATTATTCACTCCCGCACCCTTCAATTTCCTTCCTATAAAACAGAAACCTCAAGTTGTTGATAAGGAAAATAATAGTTTTTCAAATTTTATTTCTACTCTACAGTTATTTCTAATATGGTGGTAAGTCTGGGGTTTTTATATCTTCGAAGAAGTAAAGAAGAGCAAACCACGCTTACAGAAGAAAGAGCCATACAGGCACCAGCTGCCCATGGTGGCAACTTAATCCCTAGTGAAGGAAAGAAAGCCCCAGCAGCAATTGGAATAGCAATAACATTGTATGCCATGGCAAAAACATAGTTCCATCTTATTCGAGAGAATGTTTTCCTGGAGAGATCAATGGCTGTGATTACATCTTCTAAGTTATTTCTCATCAAAACATAGTCTGCAGCTTCTATGGCAATATCTGTCCCTGCCCCAATTGCCATACCAACATCTGCAGCCGCTAGAGCAGGAGAATCATTGATCCCATCCCCCACCATAGCAACAATGCTGCCATCTTTCTGAAAGGAACGTACAACATCAGCTTTTCCAGCCGGCATTACCTCTGCCCTTACATCTTGGATGCCCACCTGTCCAAAAACAAGTAAATTTAATTCATGCTGAACAGAAATTTTAACAACCTACAGCCTCTCATATTGTGATCTTAATTTATATGTATAATCAGATTAGACGAATTGCTGCTTACAACCAATAATACCAAAGACATCATTTTCTACTGCTTCTTATACCAAATATGGAAACAAATGCACCCAACATATTCATGATTGAGTTCAGATAGGCAGTATTTGAGCGGGAAGCTCAATGCCGTATTAATTCAGATAAGCAGTATTTCAACAGGAAGCCCATCCAAATAATGCACATGCAGGTACGCATGCATACAAACCTCCCTAGCAACAGCCTGAGCCGTCCTCCAATTATCTCCAGTAACCATGACAGTTCTGACACCCATTTTCCCTAGGCCTGCTACAACGACAGCAGCTTCTCTCTTCAATGGATCTGCTACCCCCAAAACTCCAATCACATTATCCTCGTATGCTGCAAGTACGCCAGTCCTGGCACTTTCTTCCAAATCCACTAGGAAATTTTCAACATGGGTAGGAATGTTAACTCCACTTTCAGTTAGCAGCTTTCGATTGCCAACCTGTTCACGAACACCACTTTTGTTTAGTGCAATGAAGACAATTTCTGAAGCCTCAGAAATTATAAATAACAATGACCAAACACTCACCAGTACTCGCTTTCCATCAATAAAACACTGAATTCCTCTTCCTGGCACAGCAGAGAACTCTGCAACGTCAAGAAGCCATGCAGAAAATGTGGATCCTTTGCTGCTGTTTTGGGCATCTTCAGTTAGCGAATTCTCATCAAAGAAATGGAAGTGGCGAGCATATTCCACTATGGCTTTTGCCAATGGGTGTTCGCTGCTAGCCTAAGCAATGAGAAGAAGGGAAATTCAGTAACTGTAGAAATGCATGAAAGAAGAGAATGCAGAAGAAAAGGCTGCCTACTCCCTTGCACCTTTCATAGTAAGTCTATATTCTAAATGTGCTCTTTTTATTGTCAAATGCCCTGTTTAGGACTTGAAACCAGAAATGATACAATAATAAATACACATACAGAGATAGACAGAGGAATATTGTTTTTGAAACTAGTTAGGCTGTTAGAAATTACCTCTGCAGAAGCCACCAGCGTAAGGAACTCTCCGCGATCCATCCCTGAGAAAACTTTTGCACTTGTGACCTTGGCTTTGCCTTGGGTCAAAGTGCCGGTTTTGTCAAATATAATATACTTGACCTTCTGAGCTCGTTCCAGTGCATCTCCTCCTTTTATCAACACACCATTATTAGCTCCAACCCCTGTTGCAACCATGACAGCAGTTGGAGTTGCCAACCCAAGAGCACAAGGACATGCAATTACCACCACAGATATTGAAAACATAAGAGCGAAAACAAAGTAATTGCCATTTTCTGGTAGCCACTGCTCTGGGTAGGCTCCAACAACTCCACCAACATACCTACAAGCAATCAACAAACGAATTCAATATTAGATGGAGGTCACAGACATTTTATCTCACAAAAAGGTGAATATGACAAAATAAGCCATTCAGATATTACCATCCCAACAATGTGAACAATGCCAAAGTAACAACAGTAGGAACAAAGATGCTTGCAACCTGCAAGCCACGGAAATCTAGAGTTAAGGACAAAACATAACATACAAGCAAGTTAACATAATTGCCTGTAAAGAATTAGCATTAACAAACAGATTCTTCCTCCAACATAAAGTCATGACCTCGGAGATGCTATCACATTGAACAAAAAATTTTAATGTGAAAATATACTTGAAAAATCGTGTAAAGTTTAAGTGTCTATGGGGGTGCATGTATTAAGGGAACCTCCAGTAGTTTTTTAGGATGAATTTTGCCACAACCATTCCAAACTTACCTATAAACCATTTGATATTATTTTAATAGAAACTATAAGACTTAAAGGCTATAATGGCCATT